ATAAAATGTGTTAACAAAAAAAAAATAAATTGATGTTTAATTGATGTTAAGTACATTTACATTATTATAGTAACTATTATTATTATTATTATTATATATGTATATAATATTTTTTTATTATAGCTAAAAATTTTTTGTTATTTTTGTTAACTTTTAGTATTTTTAGTTTATAGTATAATCAATATGTATGATATATGACATTTCATCTATCATAATCTTGTTATACATAATGTATTATACACTATATATACTATATATATATATATACTGTATATATACTGAATATATATACTAAATATATATATACTGAATATATATATATACTGAATATATACTGTATATAAATTTATATTGTATTAATTTAGTGCCCATTTGTTATTGTTAATTCAACAAATAATTTTTTTTAATAATTTTTTTATACATATATATTATACAGTATATTCCCTATACTATAGTATAATAAACTCTACATTTCTAAACATAATAATAATAATAATAATAAAGGGGTAAATATACTGTACTTACCAAAAAAAATTAAGATAATTATTGTATAAATAAAAAAATTATTTTAGCAATAAAAATGTATATATATTTATCTATAGATAATATATTTTTTTAAAACATATTATTTATATATATTATAGTTTTATTTTGTGAATATTATATTACTTTTTATTTCCAAAAAAGAGTTTTTTATTTAATAGTTTTTTTACTATTACTGATAGTAGTAGTAGTAGTAGTAGTAGTAGTAGTAGTAGTAGTAGTAGTAGTAGTAGTAGTAGTAGTAGTAGACTATATAATATATATTTATTTTTGATGATATCATTGATATTAACTTTTTAAAAAAATAATACATTTTTAGTCCTAAATTATACTTTAGTTATCATATATATATATATATATTTATTTACAGACAGTATATATAGGGATAATGTTTGCTAAACTATTAGCTAAATGTCTGCCTTTAGAGAGATAGAGAGTGAGAGAGAGAGTCGGTATATCCTATTATATATCGTAATGACTCTCTCTCTCTTTCTTTCTCTCTCTCTCTCTCTCTCTCTCTCTCTCTCTCTCAACTCACATACACAGAACAAGAAAAACATTACACACACACATACACACACATACACACACACATACACACACACATACACACACACATACACACACACATACACACACACATACACACACACATACACACACATACACACACATACACACACATACACACACATACACACACATACACACACATACACACATATACACACACATACACACACACATACACACACATACACACACATACATACATACACACCACATACATACACACCACACACATACACACACATACACACACATACACACACATACACACACATACACACACATACACACACATACACACACATACACACATATACACACACACATACACACACACATACACACACATACACACACATACATACATACACACCACATACATACACACCACACACATACACACACATACACACACATACACACACATACACACACATACACACACATACACACACACTCACTAACTCTCTTTTTTTCTCTCTCTCCCCTTAATGTATTAGTCGTGCCATACGTACCAATCAGGATCTGTTATCATCGACTCCTTGGTACTCATTATTTCTTAATGACTTCTGGGGTACACCATTAAAGTCAACCAATACGCACGGATCCTATCGGCCGATAACTGTCGTATCGTTTCGCTTAAACAATTTACTACACGGTCTACGGCCGTACGGGTTTCACTTGTTCAACGTAGGGCTACACTCGACGGCCACCTACCTGTTCATGCGTTTTTCGGCCCAGATATTCAATCGACGCAAACGTATTACACTGATAGCGGCCGCCCTGTTTGCCAGCCATCCCATACACGTCGAATCCATAGCCAGTATTGTTGGCCGGGCCGATGTCGGTGCAGCCATATTCTACATACTGGCCATTATGTGTTATATGAAATATTGTCGACTAAGCGATCGCCGGGATAGACCCCAGCGCCTGTATCTATACACTACTCTAGCGTTGGCCACTGTATCGATGTTGACCAAAGAGCACGGCATAACAGCGCTGGCCGTCTGTTCAGTCTATCATCTGTTCATACATTATAAACTATTTCCGTTGACACCCGATATCATACATATGATTATAATTGAAGTTAGTTTTTTGACTGTCTATCTATCTATCTATCTTTAACATACAGTTCCCTTATAATATGCTTTACCGGTATATAATTTTTGATTAGCATATGTCCTAATAATATGTTTGTTTGTTTTATTTTTTTTTTTGGTTAAACATTTTTATAGAGACGATACAAATATCTGCGAATAGGTTTAATACATCTATGGATGAGTGCCCTACTATTGATTGGCCTACGAATTGGGCTAATGGGTCGGACACCTGTATTTGCACCGTCAGATAATCCGGCCAGCGATCATCCATCTGTGATAATCCGTTTTCTGACATTCCTTTATCTACCTGTTTTCAACTTTTGGCTACTAATCTATCCGCGCTATCTAAGCTTTGACTGGTCAATGGAGTCCATACCGCTGGTCCAGTCGGTAGGCGATCCCCGTAATCTAGTATCCATAGTATTCTATACTGGACTGACACTGATAGTCAAATGTCTACTACAATACTATTATACAAAGTGCCAGCAAATGCGGTCACTGATGATGATGATGGCCACCAACACTAGCACCACCACCACCAGTGCCCCCGAATTGTGTACATTTAACGGTGGGTGCGGATGTGCGCCCTGTTGTTATCAACACCATCAGCATCAGCACCAACACTACAAACAGCAGCACCAGCACCTAAAACGGCCGTTTAATTATAATAATAAGTCATGTAATAATAATAATAACTCAATGTATAGTTGCGACTCTTATTATTATCTCAATAATAATAATAATAATAATTTTAATAATAATAATAATTATAGTGTAAATAATAATAATTATTATACAAAAAATAATTATAACAATAATAATAATAATTATACTAAAAATAATTATAACAATAATAATAATAATAATAATTATACTAAAAATAATTATAACAGTTATAATAATAATAATAATTGTGATGTTACGACGTCCAGCACTAGTAGCCATAGCCATAGCAGCACCGGTAGTAACGGTAGTTCGCCATCTAATACTAGTTTATCATCATCTAGTGTTACCTCTCTAGATGATACTAGCAGCAGCACCGGTAGCTTCTATAGCACAATGACATCATCATCATCATCATCATCCATGACAATGACCCAAATGGATTGCATAACAATAGGACTATCTCTGTTGATCATCCCATTCATACCGGCAACCAATCTATTTTTCTATGTCGGCTTTGTTATTGCCGAACGTATACTATATATACCCAGTTTCGGCTACTGCCTACTAGTGGCCATCGGTATCGACTATTTTCTCCGACACCGTAAAACCATACGTTTCGTAGCACTGGTAGCCCTAACTGTACTGTTAGTATCGTTTTCGTGGCGTACGTTCATACGTAACATCGATTGGCTATCCGAAGAAAATCTCTACCGTTCCGGCATTGATGTCAATCCGCCTAAAGGTATGTATAGTTTGGTTTTTTTGTTGGTTACCCTATGTTGGTTATGTTAGGTATAAAACCTACTAATCTATGTTTGTTTGTTTGTTGATAGCTTACGGCAATTTAGCCAACATATTGAGCTCCCAGTCCAAGAAACGTGAGGCCGAACAGGCCTACAAAAAGGCTCTGACCTACCGGTTCAATATGGCCGATGTCCACTATAATTTGTATGTTATAAAAAAAATAATTTAATTAAATTATTTTTATTTTAAAAAAAAAAATTTATCATTTTTTCTATATGTGTGTGTATCATTAAAAAAATATATGTATATAACATAATAGTCATATACTATAATATATATATATATATTATAGTTTAATGTATACCCAATACTACTACTACTACTACTACTACTATTTGATAGTCAATTAAATAGCCATTTGTTATAACAATTAAGTGTTTTTTTGTTGTTAAGTATATTATATATAAAAATTTATATTATAAATGTTTAGCTATCGATATCTCATTAATGGCTAAAATAAAACATTTATTTTTTTTTATTTGTTGGTTATCATTAGTTTTTGGTTGTCATTAAAATTTTATATACTATAGTATAGTATAGTATAGTTTGTGATATGTAAATGATATTTACTGGTAATACTAATAATAATAATTAGTTTTTTTTAATATTTTATTTTATTTTTATAGACTTATAGAATATTATAGAGTAAATAATAAAAAATATATTTATTTTATAATGTGATTTAAAATCATTAATTTTCCGAACAATTATATGTAAATTATTTTTAAACTTATTTTTTTCCAGACATATGTGTCTATAAAATATATAAATTATATAATAATAATAATGATAATGATTGTAGCGATTATTAAATGGTATTTTTATTTCAGCTGAAAAATACATTTTTTATTTTATTTTATTTTTTTTTTAAAAACACATTAATGGCATTGACTCTGTATATAATGTTTATGTGAAGCAAAAAAAAAATAAATTTTTAAACTGTATTTGAATTTATTTTTTTTATAATTAGAAAATTATCAATAATAGCTAAAATGCATTACTATTACTACTAATACTAATACTACTACTACTAACTAATACCGGTATATATTTTTTATGTACTTTAAGATAAAGGCTTATATAATATTAATTTTTTTTATATAGTATAGTATAGTATATGTGTATTAAACACGACTCCAAATTCAGGGACCTATAGTTTTATTTAATTTTTTTATATATATATGATATACACTATATTATCTTACATTATATATATATATAATTGCATACTTATTCACGAATTAAGTCAAATTATGTTTTATTTTCAAGTTTTTAAAAATATTTTATATGATATAAAAAAAACATTTTATGCACCTTTTAAAGCCATATGATAAGAGTTACTATTTTAAAATTAAAAAAAAACTAATAGTTTTTTTTATTACTTATACTCTCTCTCTCTCTCTCTCTCTCTCTCTCTCTCTCTCTCTCTCTCTCTCTCTTTCGTTCACAAATCTATATTAACATATAATTTATATATATATATATATATTTAAACTTACTTATGATTTTTGTTATGATTTTTTGTTATTTTTTTAAATAGTTGTTGTATATTAACCTTTCTATATATATATATATATATATACTGTATATAAGTTTACAATATATACTGTATATAAGTTTACAATATATACTGTATATGTATTTATATACGGAATAAACTGTAAGTACTGTACATTTTTTTGTATGATAGATAAGCCGACTAATTGTGAGAAAAAACCACTTTACGATTGAAAGAGAGAGAGAGAGAGAGAGAGAGAGAGAGAGAGAGACTTAAAAAGAGAGAAATATTATTAAACTTCACTTATTTTGTTGTTTAAGTAAATAACAATTTCATTATCTCTCTCTCTCTCTCTCTCTCTCTCTCTCTCTCTCTTTCGGCTATCAATTAAATGCTAATGTATTCAATGGATCATAAATCACATAACATTAAGACATGTTTTTCAAATCAAAAACATATATATATATATATATATATATATATATATATATATATATAATACATATATTTTTCTGGTATTTTTATTATTTTCAATGATTAGTTGAATATTTGTTGAAAATAAAAACTATTTGTTATTATTATTATTATATTATTATTTGAAATATATTGTATAAAACAGTATAAAACTTACAGTATGTTAACAAAATAAAAATAAAATGTTGTTATTATTTGACCATATAATTTAAATATATTTATATTTATTATTATTTTTAAAATATATATATATATATAATAAATGATAAATTAGTTATAATAGTTATTATTATTATTATTATTATTTAAAAAATATCGTGTGTAGATTATTTTTGAATAATTTTTATTTGAATACTTATTTATATCAATATATATATATACAGTATATATATATTTGAAAATATTTTCATATAACCAATAATTTTGTTATCAAAAATTATATGTATTGAATATATACTATAGATATTTAAAAAAAATGTTTAAAAGTTTATACCTGTAATTAAATTATGAATTTTTATTTTTTAAAAATTTTATCATTCAAACTATATAAGTATTACTTAAGTAAATTTTTAGAAAATTATGCACCAAAAAAATAGATAAATAAATATTTTAAAATAAAAAAAAATTGTATATAATATTTCATTTTTAATATTTTTTACAAATTATCACTTTTAATATGGCTAATAAACTATATATAATAAATTATCTATATTCTATTAAAACCAAATTTAAATTATATATATATATTTATACTTAAAAAATAATTACAAAATTAAATTTAATAAATTAAAGTTTTTATATTTAAGTTATTAAAGTTTTTATATTTAAGTTATTAAAGTTATTAAAGTTATTATATTATACTTGTATTAGTAGTAATGATAATAATAATTTATTACTAAATTTTGAATACTAACATTTTAGTAATAAATATTTTAAAAAAATTAAATTTTAGATAAAAATTTAATTCATATATAACTTTATATATATATATACAATGTATATAAATTATATACAATATAACTAACTAATAAAACAAATTTTATTTTTTAAATTATCAAATTCTAATCTAGCTAAATTTATTTTTTATTTATTTTTTTTGTTTTATTTCAATAAATAATTAATTAATAAATTTATTATACATACTATAGAGGTATACTACTACAAGAACAGGGACGCTATGAGGAGGCCCTCCAGAGCTACAAATATGCCGTCCAGTTTCGGCCCCGGCTGGCAATGGCCCACCTAAACATGGGTCTAGTATTGGTACAGTTAGGCAGGAAACAGGAAGCCGTCGACACCTACAAACATTGCTCGCAATTGGACAGCTCGGGCCTCAAGGATCCGAAACTGCACGACAGTACCCGAATATCGGCACTGTTCAATCTGGGCCGTATCTATGCCGACGACGGCGACTACGGTCGGGCACTCGGCATCTATTTGCAGGCCATCGATCGTATGCCCCATCACTATCAGGCCCAGTCGCTGTACAATATGGTTGGCGAAGCCTACTTCAAACTCGGCCAACTGGCCGATGCTGAACAATGGTTTAAGCGATCACTGGCGGCCAAATGGGATCATATACCCGCACACTTGACCTATGCTAAAATGTTGGTCAAAGCTGGCCGTACCCAGGAATCGGAACAATGGTTTCTCAAAGCTAAACAATTGGCGCCAAACGACTCGAGTGTTTATCAACATTATGGTCAGTAGTATATTATCGGTAAATATCGGTAAAAAATCTATAATAAATAAATTGTGTTTTTTTAGGCCAATTTCTATCGGAACAGCAACGCCATGAAGAAGCTGTCGATTTGTATCTGAAAGCTATTAAACTGTCGCCCAATGACTACGAAATTGTCTTCAATACGGCAAACACCTTAAGACAGGTAATTGTTTTTTTTTGTCCGACAATTATCGGTAATTTTTGTTGTTGTTGTTGATTAGGTTAAGCGCAACGACGAAGCGGAAAACTATTACCGCTGGGCAACCCGTTTGAGGCCAAACGAGGCGACCAGTCATATGAATTTGGGTGCTATGCTACACGTCAATGGTAAGCTCCGGGAGGCCGAACTAAGCTATCTGGAAGCGCTACGGCTGAAACCCGATGACCAGATAACGCAAAACAATTTATCAAAACTAAGACATCTGATGCAACAAAAGAGACAACAGTCGGCAACAGTTGTCGGTGACAGCAAATCGTGATGCTATGGATACCTGACCCTAACCTTTGACCTCCAGATGATGGCCAGTCAGAACAACCGATGCCATCACCACTACCAACAACACCAACAACAACATTACCATTGTTTGTGATGACTATTGTCGACCAAAAAAAAAGAAAATAAATTTTTTTCTAGTCATTCAAATAATTTTATTAATTACCAGATTTACCTTAAAATATATATATTATTATTATTATATTATATTATATAACAAAAAAAACATTTTTTTTAAATATATTATATTAATATATTGATATACCTGTCTGTATATATTGTGTGTAGAAATTGATTGCAACCAAAAAAAACATACAAACAAAAAAATAATTGTTTTTTTTTTAAAAAATAATTATTATTATAATTCCACACATTTTTCCCAATTTTTTTTTAAAATAATAATTATTATTATTATTATAACTAACTCTCCATAAAAATTCTGTGATAATATTTGCGATCATTTTTTATGTTTATTTGTTTGTTTGGTTCAAATGAATTTAAATTTTTAATAACAATTATTAATAATAATAACAAAAGTTTTAATAATAATAATAATAATAATAATAATAACACACATATAATGATAATATAATAATTTTCAAAATCTAAGTCATAGATATTTTATGTATAATTATTATTATTATTGATTAACTAATTGAATACTCATATAACAAAAAATAATTTAATATATTATTATTGATATATTTAAAAATTAATAATAAAAATTTTCAATAAGACATACCCCCCCCCACTAAACATACCGATTCTGTGATTTAGTTATACAATAATAATAATAATACCTGTATATTACTAATTGAATTTTTTGTTTTCAATTTTTTTCATATATATATATTAATAATACAAACATAAATTTATATAAATTTTATATATATACAGTATATATTGATAGATTAATTTAATGCAATTATTGCGGTACCAAAAAATTAATTAATTAATTATCACTTTATAAATACAATACAATAATACTGTACTAATTTATAGTAATAATTATAGCCTGTATAGCACACCAAATATTTCTACATTTAAAACAAAATTATATACAATTAAATAAAAAAAAATAATGTCAAGGTCAATTAATTGATTGCTTATTTTATATCTATCTATTTATTATTATTATTATTAATACTATTAGTATTATATGATATATATAAAATTTATGATATTTACGGTAATAAAATTTTTAATATATATATCTTAATAATAATATAAATTTATATAAATATATTTAAATTACAAATAAATAAATTTTAAAAAAAATGTTTATTATTATTATTAAACAATAATTGTTTTGTTTTTTTCTCTCTAAATCATTGATGAATTATATATATATAAAAGTGACTTAATTTGATTGATTTATTCGGTAATTAATTAATAATTACTAACTAAATGATTGGTAACTAATTAAGAACTAAATGATTGATCAATCGGTCGGTTTGTTTGACTGACTAATTGATTGATTGATTGATCAAAATATACCAAACTTTTTGTTAGCTTTTCGGTACTTTAGCTGATTTAAGGCCAAACCCGTACAGACATCGTCGGCCGTTTTTGTCTGACCATAATAGTCGACAAACTCTCCTTTCGGATTAACCAAATACATGATAATCGTATGGTCGACAATATAGTCATCTTCGTGATCGCGAGGTCCGGCCGAATAATACACCCGATAGGCCCGAGTGGCCGCCTCTATCTGATCCTTACTACCGGTCAAACCGATAATCTCGTCGGAAAACTCTTTCAGATAACCTTTGACGGCTTCGGGCGTATCCCGTTCCGGGTCGACAGTAATAAATACCATACGGATGTCGTCCATACCGGACATTTGTCGGACTTTTTTCACCGCTTCGACCATTTTTTCGATTTCATCGGGACATACATCGGGACAATGAGTAAAACCAAAGTACAGTAAATACCATTTGCCCAACAGGTCTTTGGATTGAAACGGGCGGCCATTTTGGTCGATGAGTTCAAATTGACCGCCAATCGATGCCCGACCGAGCGATCGTTTCCGATCCTTCTCTAGTTTTTGCATCTTTTCCTGTTTGAACTGTAAGAATGCGGCCATAAATACGGCAAACAGTCCGCCAGATATCAGGAATGACTTCCAACTGAATAGATTTCGTTTGCCATCGTCTGGTTGTCCAGTCTTTACCGACTAATATATATATAGATATTGTGGACAATAATAATAATAATAATAAATAGTAACCGATCGGTCAAATCAATTGGTCATATAATTACCCGATTAAATGTCTTCATAACAACTAGTGATGGTTGCCGTGTTGTCCTCCAGTGATGTCGTCGACAACATATCGCCGCCGCCGCCGCCGTCGCCGGTGTCTTGAATTGTGACAACTGATGAACAGATCTCGCGGCGGCCGATAAGTGGACACCGCTGTTGTTGTACTGACACCACAACCGCCGCCACTGGTATCTAATGACCAATCGGTTGGTAAACTTTATACACAAAGACATCTGACTGACTGTCCGCTACGGCTACCGTCGGGTGGGTGACAATGAAATTACCGGTCAATTTGCCGGTGACTTAACACACAGTGTTTACACCCAAAACCAAAACAAAACTAAACAAATGTTAATCACGTGTTTGTATTATTGGCAATATTTAGTGCACATGCGAAACATGTATGGACAGTACAAATGTATATTGCAAATAAATTATTGCTATTTAATATACATTTGTACTGTCCATACATGTTCCGCATGTGCACTATATAAATATATATGTATGTTAGTTTATAATGTAATTAATTTAGTTTTTATTTATTTAATAACTAAATTAATTACTTAATTAATTAATTTAAAAACTAGTAATTGTACCTCGATTAAATTATTGGATTAAAATAATTAAGTTTTTTTTTCATAAAAATTTTTAAAACTATTTATGTATTATAAATAAATATATTTGTTTTTTATCAATGATTTTAATATTTTTGTTTAGTTTTATATTGTTTTCAAATGGTAAGCATAGCTACTGTACATATGTATTGTAAACTTTTTGTTTGTTTGTTTAATTATTTATTAATTAATTAAATTATTTATAAATATATTTATATATATATATATATATATATATGTTTAAATAATAATTAATAAAATCATCTAGATAAGTTAATAATAATGTCTAGGGCCATATCACGCTGAAAGCACCGGTTCTCGTTCGATCACCGAAGTTAAGCAGCGTCGAGCCCGGTTAGTACTTGGGAGGGAGACCACCTGGGAATACCGGGTGTCCTAGACATTTTTTTGTGTATTTATTTATACATGAGCGTTTTATTATAATTTTTTATTATATATTAATTAGAATTAAATAAAATAGTAATTATAATTTTTAATAATTACAATAAAATAATAATTAGCCACAAAAAAACTTAAATAATAATAAACGCGCATGTATAAATACACACAAAAAAATGTCTAGGACACCCGGTATTCCCAGGTGGTCTCCCTCCCAAGTACTAACCGGGCTCTCGGCTGCTTAACTTCGGTGATCGAACGAGAACCGGTGCTTTCAGCGTGATATGGCCCTAGACATCAATACTAACTTATCTAGATAGTTTTATCAATTAAAAATTTATATTTATACATGCTAAATTAATATCTATATATATCAATATATAGTGTACCGGTATATGAATATTATGGGTAATATGATTGTTGGTGTTATCTAATGTATTAATTATTAAAACTTAATTGTACCAGTATCATTTTAAGACTGTGTGTGTATTTGTGGGAGGGGTGGGTGTGTCTGTGTATGTATGGGTGGGTATACTTAATAAACAGATATTGGTTAACATTAATTGATTGATCGGGCAAAAAATTAAAAGTAATTCAAAAGTAAAATTCATTCAATTTTTTATTTAAAAAACTAATTTAATTTAATAATTGAAAAGTTAGATAAAAACAAAAAAATTAATTTAACTTTTTTTCTTTCTTTTTTTAATAAAAAAGGTAAATTTTATTTAAATATTAAATTATTATTATTTATATAATATTATTATTATTAATATGTTTGAATAAATACTTTATTTATTCAAATAAAAATAACTAATTAAAAAAAATCAATTAATTTAATCATAAATTAAATATAATATAAATCAAAAAAAAATAAATTAGAAATTTGATGACTTGTTTGTTGTTGTTGTAGTTGTTTTGTTTGAAGTGTTTGGAAACAATTGGGTGATGAATAAAATGAGAGCTAATATATTATATTATTAATTAATAAAATAATTAAAAACACCTAACGATTGCTTATTTTTATACAAACAATGAGAGAGAGAGATATATATATAGACAATGAAAGACAGGTTAAAGTTCATCCTTTTCCGTATCGGGCGATGACGAGCCGTCCTCATCACCGCCGGGTGGCGGCGGCGCACCTCCAGCTCCGGCATACAGTTTAGCAATAATCGGCTGAACAGTATCCTCGAGTTCCTTCTTCTTGGCCTTCATTTCCGATACTTCTGCTTCCGAATTCGATTCCATCCATTTGATTGTCTCATCAACTGCCGACTCTATGGTTGTCTTTTCCTCATCGGTTATCTTACCGCCCAATTTCTCTTTGTCGGCCAACTGGTTCTTCAAGGAATAGGCATACGATTCCAATTCATTTTTAGCTTCGACTTTCTCTTTGACTTTTTTGTCGTCGTCGGCAAACTTCTCGGCGTCTTTGATCATCCGTTCGATATCGTCGGGTGTCAAGCGATTGTGATCGTTGGTAATCGTAATCTTTTCCTTATTGCCGGTACCCTTGTCTTCGGCGGATACTTTCAGTATACCGTTGACATCGATTTCGAATGTAACCTCTATCTGGGGTACACCACGGGGTGCCGGCGGTATACCAGTCAAGTCAAACTTGCCCAACATATGGTTATCTTTGGTCATCGGCCGTTCGCCTTCGTAGACTTGGATGGTTACGGTGTGTTGGTTATCGGATGCGGTACTAAACAACAACAACAACAAAAAATACAGTTTAGTGACAGTCCTATTGGGTGGGGGGTAGGGTAGGGTAGGGGTGGGGAGAAAAACTAATGAATATCTACCTGAATATCTGGGATTTTTTGGTCGGAATGACTGTATTTCGGGGAATCAATTTGGTCATAACGCCGCCAACAGTTTCGATACCCATAGTCAGTGGGTTAACGTCCAATAGGACCAGTTCGCCGGTATCCTCTTCGCCGGATAGTACGCCCGCCTGGACGGCAGCGCCGAAAGCTACGGCTTCGTCCGGATTGATACCGCGTGTCGGCTCTTTGCCATTGAAAAACTCTTTGACTGTTTCCAAAGGAGATCAACAACAAAAAAAAAACAATTAATAAATACTAATCTGATCCCAAACAACAACAACAACAACAACAACAAGACATACCTAATTGTTGTACTTTTGGTATACGAGTAGAACCGCCGACTAAAACAATTTCGTGGATATCTTTTTTCTGTAGATCGGCATCTTCGAGAACTTTCTGTACGGGTTTCAGTGTCGACCGAAACAGATCCATATTAAGCTCTTCAAACTTGGCCCGAGTGAGGACTTCGCTAAAATCTTCGCCGTCGAATAGGGACTCGATTTCAATCCTCGCCTGATGTGCACCACTAAGGGTTCGTTTAGCTTTTTCGACCTCACGGCGCAACTTCTGGACGGCCCGATTGTCCGAACGCATATCTTTACCCGTTTTTTTCTTATACAGTTTGATAAAGTGTTCCATAACTCGCTGATCGAAATCTTCGCCACCCAAATGAGTGTCGCCATTAGTCGATACGACTTCGAAGACACCGTTATCGATGGTCAGTAGCGATACGTCGAAAGTACCGCCGCCTAAGTCGAAAACCAAGATATTCTTTTCGCCTTCGCGTTTGTCCAGTCCGTAGGCAATGGCCGCTGCAGTCGGTTCGTTGATAATACGCATAACAATTAGGCCGGCAATAGCACCGGCATCTTTGGTGGCCTGACGTTGAGCATCGTTGAAATAGGCCGGTACGGTTACCACAGCGTGCGTAACCTTTTTACCCAAATAGGCTTCGGCTGTCTCTTTCATTTTGGTCAATATCATTGCCGATACTTCTTCGGGTGCAAACACTTTCATACCCTGAGCCGTCTCGACCTTAACGTGCGGTTTGCTATTCTTCTCGATAACTGTTGCGGTTGTGGTAATGAATGAATGTATGAAATGAATGAAAACATGTCATCAATAAGTAAATCAATTGATTTGATTGATAGATATCTATCGGTAGTACTAAACAACAATTACCGTACCTTTGAATGGAAAAAATTTTACATCCGATTGAACCGTTTTATCAGACCATTCGCGACCGATCAGCCGTTTGACATCGAATACAGTGTTTTCGGGATTCGATGTCAACTGATTTTTGGCCGCATCGCCAATGAGACGTTCGCCCTCCTGAGTAAAGGCTACATACGACGGTGTTATACGATTTCCTTGATCGTTGGCAATGATCTCGACCCGACCGTTCTTGAACACACCGACACACGAATAAGTGGTTCCCAAATCAATACCGATAACCGTACCGACAGAGTCTTTGCCGTCGGCTGTGGACGACGAGTCGTCCTTTTTGGCCGCTAAACAAAACGTCACCGACAGGGCCACGAATGCCACCAGACAGTAGTGGCCACAAGTTTTCTTCATTGTCTGGTTTGTTAAAAATTAAATTAAATGATGAGCTAATCAATGACATAGACATCACCTGAACTGATCCCCAACACCCCCAACAATAAGCCGGCAATCAATTCAATTGATGATTGATTTGAAAAACTAATAGTTACTTACCATTAAGTTTGTAGTTATTATTATTATTATTATAAATCACTTGAATGGACCAATTGGTCGGTCAGTCCGTCCGTCCGTCCGTCCAAAAAAAAAGTGGTCAATCAATAGGTAATAATTGACTTAATAATAATAGTCACCCGAAACGTGTGTTTTGTTTTATAGACTTATAGTTATAATAATGTATTGAATTGTATATTAAAAGACACGTATTGTATATTCAAAGATAGAGAGAGAGAGAGTATTAATACTATTATATACTAGTGTTTAAGTCAATGCTTTAATAATATTAACTGAGTTGACAGGCAATCGTGTCGATTAGCGATTGGCTATTATACCCAAATGTGTCGCTCAATGATTGGCTAAAAAGGGTTATTGACTCCGCCCACTCCTCCCCTAACCTACCGGCTATGATGTCACACATACAGTACAGTACAGTACAGTACAAGTAAAGTCTAGAAATGTCTCTATAGTTCCAATGTAGTTTACATAGATTAGTGTAAACTGTATATTAGATTTTAGAGTGATCAAGTGTCCAGGATAGTTATATATATATATATATATATATTTAGATTAGAAAAACTAATAATAAACTAAAATTATTAAAACTATTTAAGTAGTTTTTTTTATTAAAAAAAAAGTATAATTATTTAATTTTATTTATTTGTTCTAAAAATTGTAGTTTTTTAAAACTATTCAAAACAAATATATATATCAATGTAATATTAAATAGTTTTTAATTATTTTTGTAAATTTAAATAAAAATAGAAACATTTTTTAAAAATTTATTTTATTTTATTCTGTTATAAATTAGTTATAATTCTTTTTTAATTTTATAAATTTTTTAACCAAAACAATTAGTTAATACTAAATACTCCCATTGTTTAGCCACTCTATATTGCAATACAGTAGACACACATTAATATGTATTTTATTTTATTATTTTCAAAACTTATTTATTAATAATACTGTTAATTCAATTAGTTAATTATAAATTAAATTTAATTGTAATAATAATAACATTTTTTTTTTTAAATAAATAAATAAATACAAAAAATTTATTTTAATGATGAATCACATAATAAATGTTTTTTGACCCAAAAATATTTATTATTATTATATTTAAAAACTTTAAGCTTACGTGTGTTAATGTGTGTGTGTGTTATTAATTGACTTATTATTTTAACTAATTAATAAATTTTGTTAAAAAATAAAATAAAATAATAACTTAATTAATAAACAATTAATTTATTTATTTAGATATTTATAATATTATTATTACATTTAAAAATATTTAAATATTTTTTCAGTAAAAACAATGTTTGTTTTGCAATAATTATTACTATTATTATATTAAAAGTGAATATTTATTTATTTTCAAAAAAAAAATTATAAACTTTTTTTTTTGGACAAAAATATTAATGTATATCTCATTGTTTGTCTAATACTACTGTACTATGAATTTGATGGTTAATATTGATAGTACAGTGTATATCATATATATATATATATATACAGTATATATATTATGTAATAATTATAAGATATTTTATTTTAATAAAACATTTTTTTTTAAAAAGTCACAAAACTTTGTTATATGTTTTGGTTGACTAATATTTGGTGTATGTCTCGGATGGCTTCAATGAATTTTAAATTTTTATTTTTTTAACAAAAAAAAACTTAATAACACAAAATACAATACTGGAAAAATGTTTTTTGAAAGTTTATACTGTATATTACAAAATTGTAATAATTTTTTTTAGTATTATAAAGTGTTTGATAGTATTTTTTTTTTATTTAAAATATATCAATATATATATACTGTATATAAAAAATATTTGACATGATTTCAATTAATCTATAAATAATAATAATAATAATAAATTAGTTAATTTTAAAAATATATAATAAAATTTTATAGTATTTTGTTTCAAATTTGTTATATAAATATATTATAAATTATATACAAATATACAGTAATACCTGTAATATAATGTGATATAAATTATTATTAATAATAATAATTTATATCACATTATATTACAGGTATTACTGTATATTTGTATATAATTTATAATATATTTATATAACAAATTTGAAACAAAATACTATAAAATTTTATTATATATTTTTAAAATTAACTAATATTATATATTATAAATTATTACTAAATATTTGTAAATAAAATTAAAATTAATTTATAAAATATTGATTAAACAATATTGCTTAACAATAACTTTAGTTAATTTAGTTTAGTTAACCCGGTTAGTACTTGGGAGGGAGACCACCTGGGAATACCGGGTGTCCTAGACATTTTTTGTGTGTATTTATACATGCGCGTTTATTATTATTTAAGTTTTTTTTGGCTAATTATTATTTAATTAATTTATTTATTAAAAATTATTATTACTATTCTATTTAATTAATTAATATATTATTTTAAAAAATAATAATAATAAACGCGCATGTATAAATACACCCAAAAAAATAATGTCTAGGACACCCGGTATTCCCAGGTGGTGTCCCCTCCCAAGTCCCTAATCGGGGCTCTCGGCTGTTTTCAGCGGTCATATAGCCACTAGACACTAATACTAACTTATCTAGGTAAGTTTTATTATATTTATGCATACTAATTTTTTAAATATTCTATTATTTAATAATTTAATTAATACATTCAGTATCATTTTTTAAATTTATATTACAAGCTAAATTTTTTATAATAACTATTTTACCTAGAGTATTTTTTTTAAAATATAAACATGAATTTTATTTTGAGCATGTACCATAGTATAGAATATTTTTAAATAATAATAATAATAAATCTATTAGTAGTAATTTACAACAAAAAAAATTCTAATACATTAAAACTAAGTTTATTTTTTTATATATATATAAAAAAAATTAGTTAACTTTATAATAGTTGTTAACCAACAATAAAAACATATAAATTAATATAACAATTATAACAACAACAACAACAACAACTTAGAAGAGCACAGGTATTCATGGGGTGTCTATCTGTATCGGTATGTGCTTTCATGTGTTAAACCTGTTTCAACAGACATACAGTTTCACTGAAACTTTCAAAGAAAAACTAAATAAATTATTTTATTTTTATTTTTTTTTGAAAAAAAAACTTTCAACTAATTTACGGTATAATAGTTGACAAAATAAAAACTGGTTTTTAAAACTTGTATCATAGGGTTAGTACTACTACTACTACTACTACTACTTCTACTACCAGTAGTAAACACATGGCTTAAAGTTTTTATATAACTATTTGATCAAAAAAAAAAAAATTATTGACAAAAAATTCAAACAAAAAAAACTTTCAAATTATATATACAAAAGTTTTTTTTGTGTTTTTTTTAAAAAAAAAATAAAAATTAGTAATGATTTGCGAAATCCTAGTATTTTCGCTAATTTTCTTAATATTAAGATGTCTTCTATGGCTAAGAAATCGACGCCAAAGACATCGATTGTTCAGCGAAAACGGTATCCGCGGACCAAAACCGTCGCTACTATCGGGCAATTATTTTGAAATCAAATCGGATCCAAACGAAACTTTCCGGGAATGGATTCAGGAATTTGGTCAACATTTTGGCTACTATTTAGGCGATACACCCGTACTGATGATTACCGATCCGGTGGTCATACGGGAAGTGTTGGTCAGCCGCAGTCGACAGTTTCAGAATCGCCAGAAATTCTTTCTGAATGCCCGACCATTTGTTTCGTCACTTCTGGCTCTTCGCGGCGATCGTTGGCGTCACGTCCGCCGTGTGATGACACCGTTTTTCAGTCATCATCGGGTAAGCTCTCCCGAGATAACCGCAATTATCGAGGAGTCGGTCGACCGATCTATAGCTAAGATTATCGACGACCAGAAATTCCTGGTCAATGTTACGGATCGGATGCAATCGATAACTTTGGATATTATTTGCCGCATTGGTCTGGATATGCGCGATACCGATGTCCACGACGAGGACAGCCAACTGAAACGGGCGGCCCAAGAGTTTATGGCTTCGGCTACCAATCTGGTGGTCATATGGGCCTCGTTTCTACCGTTTTTGCGGCCAGTTTTGACATTCATCAACAACTATCTGACCGCTGGCCGAATGACCGATCTATTGTTGAAACATCTCGACAGACAAATCACTTTTGCCACCCAATCGTCGTCGTCGTCGACATCAGATCCCGATAGTAGTAGTAGTAAAACAATTAGCAATAATGTATTGAAATCAATGTTAAAGTCATACTTTGACGGCAAACTTACTCGCGAAGAGGTTACCGGTAATAGTGTTTTACTAATTTTGGCCGCATTTGACACGACGGCTATGGGCTTGACGTTTGCATTGTATTGTTTGGCCAAAAACCCGGCCGTTCAGCAAACATTGCACCGAGAGATCCAATCAAACGGTGGCCATGAATGCGATTACTTGAATATGGTTTTTATGGACATATTTTTTTGGTTTTACTTATAATTAATTAAAACTATATATAATTATATACTTTTTAAAGGTCTGGTATGAATCGTTGCGTTTGTATCCACCGGTGGCCACATTTGTCCAGCGAGAGGCCAGCGAAACAGTTGAAATAGCAAGCGATCGGCTTATACCCGGGGGTAGTATATGTCATGTTCCTGTTTGGCATATACACCATAATCCCGATCTATGGCCCGAACCCGACCGATTTGATCCGCAACGGTTTGCACCCGAAAACAGGTATGTGTGTGGGGGTATGGATGGGTGTGTCTATTGAAATTGAAAAACAGTTATACTGTATATTGATATATATATTTATTTTTTTTATTTGTATAACTAATAGATCGGCCATACCATCCATAGCCTATCTACCGTTCGGTACGGGTCCCCGATCGTGCATTGGCCTCGAATTGGCCGCACACGAAGCGCGGATAACGTTGTCGAAAATTATCGGTAAATTTCGTGTGGAAACCTCTGCCGAAACACCCGATAGGCTTGAATTTCGGTCGACAAACGGTATACTATCGCCAAAACATAGTATTTATTTGCAATTCATACCAATTAATAGATAATAAATAAATTAAAACTTTTTTTTTTGTTAAATTACCCAAAAATATTACTGTAATAAAAAAAACATATCATATATTGTATATATAATTAAAAAGTTTTCCAAAAAAAAACAAAATGTTGTTTTATTTACTATTTATTAATAAATGTTTATTACTAAGCAATAAATAAACAAAAAATTTATTATTATTTTTTTTATATATAAATATGTATTTAGAAGTTAATGAAACAATAAATAAAATTTTAACTAAATATTTATTTATTCAGTTTAAATAAATACTCAGTACAATGTACATGTATAAAACTTGACATTGGTAAAAAATATAATAATTATATATATAAATATAAATTAAACAGTATATTTTATTATTTTTAAAAAATTTATAAACATTTTTTTCTACATTATCAAGGTGATGTCAAAATTCTAGATAATTAATTTTTGTTGTTGATATATATTTATATATATATATATATATCTATTAATATATTATTTTAAATATAAAATTTATATGTATTTATAACACGTGTAAAGTTGATGTAAATTAATATAATATATTAATAACTAATAAATAATTTGTGTAAAAAAAATTAAACTTATATTATATAAGTATAAATACTTTAACTGTAATTAGTAATTATTATATAATAAAATAATAATAAAAAAAAAGTTATCAATTATTACTATATTGTAGTGTTTACTTGTATAATGTATTATTTATTTTATTATTATTTATTTTTTTTATTAATCAAATATTATTAATTTACAACTAAAAAAATTTTTTTTTATGTTTGTTTGTTAATGTTATTTACAACAAAAATAATAATAAATTAATAAATAATTTTAATATTATTGATAATTCAAGTGTGATAACAGTCAGTCACCCCACTAACAAAAAATATTATTTATATTATAATAAAAGTTATTTAAAAAAATAAAAACACAATAACATTATTATTGTACTTATAAATTATATGATGCAAATAATACTATTGGTTTCACTTTGAAAAACTAAAATAAATAAAAAAAAAAATTTTATCTCAACTAAGGAGTTGCCAAATACTGAAAAATTTATTTTGTAATTAATAATAATAATTAGTGATTAAATTTTTGTTACTACATATTATTATTATTAGAAATTTACAATTTTATTGAACTGATACTAAAAATTATTTTTCCTCCCCCCGTTATTATGTTACAGGGTACATTATGTATTTAAATTTTATACTTTTTAAAAAAAAATTCACATTAAAAAAACTAATGTATGTAAAAATATTTATTTTATTTTTTTTTGAATATATATAAACAATATGTTTTATCTAAAATATATAATTAAGTAATAATTGATAATAAATATTATTATTATTATTATTTTTGTAAAATTGTTTGGGTGTAAAACAACAATAACAACAAATTATTTGATAAAAATTGTTTCAAAAATCTACCCTGAATATATATATATACATATATATCATATATTTATTTATTGATAATTTTTTAAAAACGTAAAAACCATACATAATTTTTAATAATAATAATTAATTAATAATAATTAATAATAATTAATAATAATTAATAATAATTAATAATAATTAATAATAATTAATAATAATTAATAATAATTAATAATAATTAATAATAATTAATAATAATTAATAATAATTAATAATAATTAATAATAATTAATAATAATTAATAATAATTAATAATAATTAATAATAATAATTAATAATAATAATTAATAATAATTAATAATAATTAATAATAATAATTAATAATAATTAATAATAATTAATAATAATTAATAATAATAATTAATAATAATTAATAATAATTAATAATAATTAATAAATATTACATATATTAAATTAAATCAATTTATTTACCATGTTTTTTTCCATGTGTATTTGGTAACTATAATTATGACTTCAAAAATAAAATTAAAAAAAAATTTGTTTCACTAGTTGTTAATAATAATAATAATAATAATAATAATAATCACATCACATGTGTGTTTACAACAACAGTATATTGAATGTGAATGTATGGTATTATTGAATGCTGTTTATAATAATATTATTATTATTTTACCACACATTTCGATAGTTTAGTTATATTACGGTTTATTATGTATTAAAAAATCCTAGCATTCATTTGCATTACGTTTTTATTATTATTATTATTAGTACTAAAAAACAAAAAATGTGTTAAACATATAGTACTGTAAAATAACAACAATAACAACAAACAATTGGTTTACCACTTCTTCTTCGTCATCATCATTATCATCGGTGGTGACAGTGATTATACAATAGTCAAAGACATTTGTGTTGTTTTTGTTTTATTGTTGAAAAAAAACAACAACAATCACTTCAATAATAATATTATAAGACATCATCGGCGGTAACGGCGACAGTGACGACCCATCAAAAAAAAGACCTGAAATCTGGATCAGATATAACTGATCTGATGATGTAATTTGCTGTCTGTGTGTTCGTGTGTGTCGTCATTGTGTCGGTTGTTGTCGTCATCGTCCTCGACATCGACCAAACACTATCAACAACAACAACAACAACAACAACAAACACCAATCAAAGCCATCCAACTGAAGACAATCAATCAAATCAATCAATCAAAACATATGTTTATATAAGAGATGTCGCTATCATTTGATACGTTGATCCACTTGTTTGCCGGCGGGTATAATATACTATAGACAGACACACACACACACTGTCTAATTGATCCACCAATTGATCTAAATTTATTTGTCTCATTTTTGTTTCATTAGTGTCGGCGGAACTATCGGTGCAATAGTCACTTGTCCACTGGAAGTGGTCAAAACGCGGCTACAGTCGTCGGTAGCCTGTTTTAGCGCACATCATGTACTGACACCGACCCTATCGGCGGCAGCGGCCACTACCGCTGCCGGTAGACATCATCATCATCACCATCAGTCAAATCCGTCAGTCAGTCTCTGGCGCTGTATTCGCCATATTGTCGACACTGAAGGTCCTAAATCATTGTTCAAAGGTCTGGGCCCTAACCTGATAGGAGTGGCGCCTTCCAGGTTAGACACACAGAGACAGACAGAGACAGACACACAAACATAGATATTATATATCATTAAAAAACACTTGTTGTTTAACTGATCCAATTGTTTAACTTACCATTCATTCATTCATTGATATTTGTTGTGGACATTACATTGTAGATAATTTAGTTGTTGATCAACAACAACAACAACAACAGTTGTCTTAAAAACTTCGAGTAACAGTACAAACACATCCCTTAATAGACCAAATTTATAGCACAGTTATGTTTTTTTTTGATGATTAGTCTAAAATATATGGTTTTTTTTTTGTATATCAATTTCAGAGCCATTTATTTCTCAACCTATTCGACAGTCAAGAGCTCCTGTAACCAGAGTTTTCAAACAGCGGATACACCATTGGTTCATATGGTATCGGCTGCCAGTGCCGGGTTTGTCTCCTGTACGCTAACTAATCCCATATGGTTTGTCAAAACTAGGCTACAATTAGATCAAAGGTATCATTAGTATTAGTATTAACCTAATTGTGTGTCCAATAATAATATCCATTTCCAATCAGTAAATACGGTGCGACCACTGCCTGGATATGTATTAAAGATCTATACAAACAGTCGGGCGTCCGGGGCTTCTATAAGGGCATAACCGCCTCCTATTTCGGTATAAGCGAAACAATCATACATTTTGTTATCTACGAGTATATCAAAGCCAAACTCAAAGAGGTACAGCTTCGGCGGCCGGCTCACGGCAGCGCCAGTAGTAGCCAATCGGAAGCGGCCAAAAATCTATTCTTTTTCCAGTATATGGCTGCGGGAGCCGTATCCAAGTCGTTCGCCTCAATACTAGCCTATCCGCACGGTATGTATGGGTACCAATGGATGAATTGATTTGATTTACCGAACAAATTGATTGATTTTTTTTTACAGAAGTGGCCAGAACTCGACTTAGAGAAGAGGGACAAAAATACCACAGTTTCGTACAAACCATTTATCTTGTCTGGCGTGAAGAGGGCGTAAAAAATGGTTTATATAGAGGACTGGTCACGCAATTAGTTCGTAAGTTATTTATTATTATTATTATTTAAAAAACTTATTATTTGTTTGTTAGGTTTGCTTAGCGCCGGGAGGTATAGAACATTACCCCCTAAAATATTAACTGTTATTTGTTTTTAAAATAATATTTATATATTTAACTCCCGATATCTCTCTCTCTCTCACACACACACACACCGATAGGTCAGATACCGAATACGGCTATTATGATGGCTACCTATGAAGTGATAGTCTATTGCATGAAATCATTGCAGACATCTCATTCAGCACTCTAGTCATCCATCAGCAGCAGCACCTCCTCCTCCGCCTCCTATTCCTCACTCTAAAGGTCTAATCTCCATAAGCTTTATATATATATATATATATAATGATATATAAAAATATATTTTGTATTATATAACAGAAACAAATTTGACATTTTTGTGCCTTTTGTTTATAAAAACAAAAACAAACAAAAAATAATTTTGTGGTAAAAAAAATTAAATGAAAACTTAGTGTTACACACAAAAACTGAAAACAAATTAATTGATTAATTAATTGATTAATTAATAAAAAATATAATTATAATCTTATTATAATCACATATCATAATAACAAATGATTAATAATTAAAATTTTAAAAGTGAAAAAAATAATAATAAATAAAATTTGTTTTTTTGTTTGTTAAGTAAAGTAAATCGTGTTTTTTTTAAATGAAATTATTGTTCAAAAAATAATTGTCGCCAAAGTTTAGCTATTCTACTATTGCACAGAAAGGCCACAAATAGTACCACTCCTTGGGATGTATTACAGATGACAAACAAATAGGACAGGATTTTCAAGAGTAGTTCGTATCTGTCGGGTATGAGTGCGGCTACAAGTGCTACAATCCATGTAAAACCCATTAGGACACCCAATCGGGTAAATATCAGTACTTGATTGGGACGGCGCCGGTGGTGGTGGTGGCCGCGGCTCTGCCGGGAGTTGTTAGCGGGTGACGGCTGCTGCTGTTGCTTGACGTTGCAGAGACTAACACTGGAACTACCGGTGCTGGTAGAGCTGCCAGTGCTGGTGGAGCTGCCAGTGCTGGTGGAGCTGCCAGTGCTGGTGGAGCTGCCAGTGCTCGATGTAGTGGTCACTGCACTGTGAGCTGACGTGTCAGTGGTTGTGCTTGAATTGGACGACGAAAATCGGCAGACTTTATGCTGCAGTGTATTGTCTGCTAGTTTCAGATCGCAGCGCATATGATAGACAGTCATCAGATATAAGGCCAGATTGACGCCGATGTTTAGGATTAGTGGAATACCGAAAAAGACGAACGTCGACCACGGATTGCTGATCCAGCAAACAGATGATAGTTCACCTAAATCGCCGTAATGTGGTCTCAATGGTGAATCGCATAGTTCACAGATACCGGCAATCGACAGGACACCGATGGCGATCAGGTTAGCCGTTAGCCAATAGCTGATTCGGACTTTTATCGATTTGTTATCTCTGATTATCAGTTTTCGGGCGCCAAACGTTTGATACATATCGTAGGCGATGACACTGTGTTTGCAAAAAAAGAAGATAATTAGAGTTGGAAAGAGAGACAACAAGTAACTGATCCCCAAACATATACCTCGACCACGACATTGTCAACAGTAGAACCCAGTGCAAGACAATGGCAGCCAATCGGCACTCGCCTAAGTACGGACTGGTCAGAAACAACAGTTGCATCAGTTCAATACAGAAGACTAGATTAATGGTATTGAATCCGTTGATTGTCGACCGAAGACGAGGAAATGTCAGATATGTTATCAATACACAGGTCAGGGCAGTGATCGATAGGATTATCAATACAGTCGATAGTATATCTTCGACAAAATCCTGTATCCATTGACTAGTATCGCATCGGTGGTGTTCAAAACATATATAAACGGATCCGTTGGCAGCAATTTCGTAGTGATCGTGAGTGACATTATCTTTGGTCACTAATAATACCGTACCGTTTGATTGGTAAATCCAATCGTATTCGGTATTATTTAGTAAAATTTGTGTACAATTTGAATGAATCAATGTCTGGGTTTCGCAAACTACGGCATTAGATGAAACACTAACTTTGGTAGCCATTGTCATGTTTTGGACGTACAATATATTGCCGAGATATTGGCCGGGGATATAATGTTTACGGGTTTCGTTGACATACAAATAGGTCATATTATTGTCGGGGGCGGCGGCTGCTATCATCTGAAACTCCGAATTCCAGTACCAGATAGGCATATCCGAATCGCCCGAACAAAATGTGGTCAACGCGGCGATTGCCGTATGAATTTTGTTGGCCTTAACCGAATTGTCGTACAAATTGAACGATAAGTTTTTCATGGATACGGTATTACTGAGTACTATAAGTATTTCGTCGTTGTTGTCGATGTTGATGGTATCGGTGGTGGTGGTGGTTGTACTGTGATTGTGGACACCGGAACTGTTGGCCTCTACCAGTATAAAGTTGACGGTCAACGACGATGACGACGACGCCTGGCCAGCACTGTCTACGGGATCGCCGGCGGCAACATAGGTAACGTTTATGATGCGCTGGGCAGACAACTCGCTAAACGAATTGGCAAATTCGCTGATAAACTCTTCGTCAAACGGCCTGTCCTGTTGGCCAATCCAATCGGTTACGTTATCTACCGGTTCCAGCAAATCCAGACCCAGCGTAATGTTAACAAACTTGCTTTTCGAGTCCAGAAAAGATATGGACGGCTTGTCGTCGTCATCATCATCGCCGCCGCCGTCATCGTCATCGCTGTCGTCGCTGCCGTTTTCCACACAACTGAAGCCGATTAGTGTAAAGTGTGCCGAACAGTACAGTTGACGACATTGTTTGTTAAACGGATCCCATATTTGATTATAGGGACAGTGCTGTTGGTCGGCATTGGAGTACAACATACGCGATCGGCCATCGATACCGAAGTTGACGAGTGTGGCAAACGACGCGGGAATCGACTTCTGAATTGGCGGCGGCGGCGGCGGCAGTAGTGACTGTTGAGGTAGTGTTAGGACATCCACTGCTGCTGCCGATGACGGTATCAATTGGTGGCTACTGTTGTTTGTTGTGATCACTTTTGGTCTTAGCTTTCGTTTATGATTATTATTATTATTATTATTATTAAGATTATTATGATGTGACTGATGTGTATGTTGTGTAAGATTTTTTTTAATGATATTATAGTCCTCTGGAGTAGTGGTGGTGGTGGTGGACATCATCTTCAATGTCGACAATGAGATCAATTTTTGATGATAATTAGTTGTTTGATTGCATAAAACTAATTGATTATTATTAACAGTAATTAAATTTAGTAATAATAATATAATTATTATAACAACGAATATTAGATTGTTTTGTAAAGTTTTTGATAATAAAATCATTTTTTTGTTTTTTTTTGATTGTTTTATATTATTTGACAATTAATAGCACTTTTAGTTATTTATTTTATTTTATTTTTTTAAAAAAAACACTGAATTAGTAATTAAAAACTTTTTTTTTTAGTAAATTAAATGTTAAATTAAATTATTAAAAATAAAATTGAATATTATGTCAATTTATTTTTTATTATATATAAACCTTGGGAGTCCACTACTACTACTACTACTACATAATTATTATTATTATTATTTACGATAATAATAATAATAATAATTATTATCACAATCGCATAGTCCAGATGTAATAATCACATTGTATTTCTTATTAATTTTTTTAAAAAAATTAAAAAAACATAGTTTTTAAAAAAAATTATTATCACTTTTAATATCAAACAACAAAACAAAAAAATAATCTAATAATTTGATAGCAAAAGTGTTTTATTATTAATTAGTTAATTATAACTAAATTATATATATATTGTAATTTTTTTTTGGCTATTGACACACAAACAAACTAAAACTAATAATAATAATAATAACTATAACTAAATATTAATTTTTCCACACATAACATATGAGTGAAATTTATTTTTTTTGTATTATTATTATTATTATTAGTATTATTTCTATTGACATTTATTATTAATTTTTCAAATATATATATATAAAGATACAAAAATACCCATTTGATTATTACAGTGTATATACAATACAAATAATTTACTAAACAATATACACTGTATAATATTGTGTATTAATATAATGTATTTATTAAACAGTTTAAAGTTTAAAACCCCTTTTTAAAACTAAATTTATGTTTTCAAACAAATAAATACCAGTTTTACTAATAATAATAATAATAATAATAATATTAATAATGCTGTTGTAATGTAAAAGAGACCTAAATTTTTATTAAATACATTAAATATATGTTAAGCTTTTTTCAGATAACTTTATAATAAACTTTGATAACAAATTTTGATTATTATTATTTAGTTAAAAAATTTTATCCACAAAATATTTATTTTAAGAAATTTTTAAACAACTTAAAAGTTTTCTAAATTTTTTAATTGCTGAGATTTTATTTTTTTATATATAAAAAAATACACAAATATACTATAAATTATTAAACTATAATTAATAATAAATTAGCTAGAATAAATTATCTCCTGGATAATAATAATAATATTATTATTATTATTGATAGTTTTAATCAAACATAGTTAAAATTTTTATGTGAAAATTATTAAATTAATACATATGTGTCTAACATTATCAACAACTGTGTACTAAACAATGTATAACCAATTAGTTTATATTATTATTAACTATATTTAAAAATACATAATAAAAAAAGTACCTAGAATATTATCATATATACTGTATATATATATATATATATATATATATATATATATATATATAATTATTATAACTTATAATAAAGCATTAATTAACTTATAAGTCAAACTATTTAAATAATTTTCTAGTTAAATGTAATTAATTAATAATTATTTTTAATTTGTATATATTTATATTTATTTATGATTTTAACAAACCATATATGATATAATTTTACAGTTTATAAAAATTATTTTAGTTATTATTAAAGTTTTTATTATATTAAATATACCGTTGTACGAAATGCATTACTTAGTATTATTTTTAAAAAAATTATATTTTAGCATGTATAAATATAATTTTTTTAATTGATAAAATATTTATGCATGCTAAATGATTAGTAAATACAGTTGTTGCCACCAGTTAAAATTATATACAATTTATGACATCTATTATAATACTTACTGTTTTTTAAACATTAATTTTAACATGTATAAATATAACTTTTTAATTGATAAAACTATCTAGATAAGTTACTATTAATGTCTAGGGCCATATCACGCTGAAAGCACCGGTTCTCGTTCGATCACCGAAGTTAAGCAGCCGAGAGCCCGGTTAGTACTTGGGAGGGGAGACCACCTGGGAATACCGGGTGTCCTAGACATTATTTTTTGTGTATTTATACATGCGCATTTATTATTATTATTTTTTATAATATATTAATTAGAATTAAATAGAATAGTAATAATAATTTTTAATAAATAATTAAATAAAATAATAATTAGACAAAAAAAAACTTAAATAATAATAAACGCGCATGTATAAATACTCACAAAAAAATGTCTAGGACACCCGGTATTCCCAGGTGGTCTCCCTCCCAAGTACTAACCGGGCTCGACGCTGCTTAACTTCGGTGATCGAACGAGAACCGGTGCTTTCAGCGTGATATGGCCCTAGACATCAATACTAACTTATCTAGATAGTTTTATCAATTAAAAATATATATGTATACATGCTAAAATTAATGTTAAAAAAACAGTAAGTAATATAATTGATGTCATAAACTGTATATAATTTTAACTAGTGACAAAAGCTGCATTACTAACCATTTAAATATTAATTTTAGCATGTATAGATATAATTTTATAATAATAAAATTATCTAGATAAGCTAGTAATAATGTCTAGGGCCATATCACGCTGAAAGCACCGGTTCTCGTTCGATCACCGAAGTTAAGCAGCCGAGAGCCCGGTTAGTACTTGGGAGGGAGACCACCTGGGAATACCGGGTGTCCTAGACACTTTTTTTGGTGTTTATTTATACATGCGCGTTTATTATTATTTAAGTTTTTTTGTCTAATTATTATTTTATTTAATTATTTATTAAAAATTATTATTACTATTCTATTTAAATAATTAATATATTATAAAAAATAATAATAATAAACGTGCATGTATAAATACACACCAAAAATAATGTCTAGGATACCCGGTATTCATAGATCGTTTTCATCCCAAGTACTAACTTATCTAGATAATTTTATCAATAAAAATACTTTTATTTATACATGCTAAAAAAATAATATTTTAAAAAATGTCACATATATATTGTTTATAATTAATAATAATAAAATATTCAGATACTACATTATATAGTATATATTTGAATGAATTTTTAATTTTAATTATCAACAACAAAAATTGAATTAACAAAAATATAATAAATTTTTTAGACATTTTAAACAACAAGTGTGCTAGTTAATAATTGTTTTTTACTGTATATATATATATAACTTATATTTTTTGTGGGCGTAGGGGTGTGTGTGTGTGGTAGGGTTGAGAGCACAGGTAGATCATTGAATGATCTATTTTGAATAATCGCTCAAAGATAACTGATCCCGATTGGTCAATAAACGGGATTTACCTAAAAACGATAATATTATGCTAACACTAGTATCGATAGTCAGTCGGACATCACTGGCCGATCCGATCTGGGGGTTCAGTTCGACAAAATCCAGTCCCGCCAACCGTCCCGTACGGCCGATCTCTTCGCCAATAACCTGGGCCTCCCGTAGGGTTAGTCCACCCGCGACTGGTGTACCAGTACTGGGCGCTTGGCTCGGATCGACTGAGTCGACATCAAAACTACAATGAATACGTCGATCCAGTCTGGGGTTGACAGCCGCTAGAGCTCTGGCCACTACTTCATAGATACCTAAGCGGTCGATATCGGCCATCGAAAAGTGTCGGATACCTAAGTCATTCAGGATTTTCAGTTCACATGGTTCGAGATCCCGGAGCCCAATGTAGGCAATATTCTGGGCATCGATTGACGGCCTCAACGATCTACCGACCAGACAGTCGGCATTAGGATCGCCGTATTGTTGGCCGACTTGTCTGATCAGAAACGATACGGGCATACCGTGAAAGTGTCCGGTAGTGGTCGTACGGGCAGTATTGATGTCGGCGTGTGCGTCCACCCAAATCACGCACAGGTCATCACCGTCACCGCCACTACCGTCACCGCTATTACCAGTTATAGATCCAATGGCCACACTATGATCGCCGCCAATGATCAACGGTAATCGATTGTCATCGGATCGGACTTTCAGGACCATCGATGCTAACTGTCCGCAAAAATCTTGAACTTGGCGTTCATTTTTCAGACGACTTGAAATAGTAGTCGATTGGTTGTCATCATCAGTGGACAGTTGATGGTCGACATCATTATCGCCGCCGATATCTCCATAGTCCCGGACATCGTGTCCCAGTTGTTGGATCTGTTGGATTAGTCGGGCATCGCGTAGAACGCGGGGACCCAATTGGACACCCGGTGATCGGGACTGGCCGGCAGCAGTCGGCGCTCCTATTATGCCCAATGATAGACACCTAGTTGTTGTTTGTTGGACACAATTTTTGATATGATTTTTTTGAGATGATATTAATGATAAATAGTTAGCAAATTTTGCACAATTAAAACAATTTCCTAACATAATTGTTAATATTTATAAAAATTATTAATTATTAATTAAAGTTATTATAATTAAAAAAATATTTTTGAATATATATACTAAAAATTAATATTTATAATTAATATTATATTAATACACAAAAAAGTAACATGGTCAAAAATAATAATATAACTGTATTTATTATTTAGGACACACTGTTTTATTAAAATTAAATAAAATTTACTTTTAAATACAGTATATTTAATATACTGTATATTATTATGTTATCATAACATGTATTGAAACAAATATTTTTGTAAAATATCTTTTTTTAAAAAAATACCATTTATTTAAAGTAAGTTTTTTTTTTAATTTTATCAAAAAAATAGTTGTATTTATCGTTTTAAAAAAATCTCTGACGATTTTTCACTTATTTATTGTATATAACCTTCAAAAATATTTTGATGTAATTACTTGAAGGACAGGAATTTTTTATTATTTTTATTTTTTGGTGTTTTAGTTATTGATTAAAAATTTTTTTTAAAAATAATTAAAATAACAAAAATATATATATAACTGATATTTTATTATTTTATAAATTTGTTTATTTATTTAACATTTAACTTATATAGATATTATATTGTAATAGTATTATGTAATATTGTTTTGTATATTACATAATATAATATGTAATTTATTGATTATAAATAAATGATGTTGATGATATTTATAGCTATACAATTATTTATTTATTTGTTTGTTTGTAAATTTTAATTAAAAACATATTAAATATCAGTATTTATAAAAAAAAATAGTAAAATTAATAGTCTAATTTATTAATTAATAAATAAAAAAAATAATCATCAATATAATATAATTTTGATATTTAAATTTAAAACCTAAATCTATTTTATTGTTAAAATGCTAACATTATTATAATATACAGTATATATATATATATATATATTAATTGATATATATAAATATAATTTTATTTATAAAAAAAATGTTTATTATGTAATCTATAATTTTAAAACTTTTTAAATTTAATTTTTTTGTTATTATAGTTTCTTGTAATGGGATTAAAGGACACCTACTATATTGCAATGATTACTGAGCGGCAAATAATTTTAAGTTAGTTTAACTGTATCAGACATATGAGATAATTTAACATATTTTTAATGGCAATGAAAAGTTACTGAAAGAGAGTTAGAAAGAGAGAGAGAGAGAGTTATGTAATATATATTTAATGTCTATATAATAATGATTATCTGATATGTAAACAATTTTTTTTGATAGAGAAAATAGTTGTAAAGTATCCAAATGGGTAGTAATTTTATCATCAATTTAAATATGAATTTAACATTACATATACCGTATATATGTATAACATGTATAATAGATATGTTTAAATTTTTAAAAAAATGTTAAAATGTGAAACATTAACACCAGATAGTCATATAATATACCGGTATATATATATATATGTATTATATTAATGTATTATATATTATATTATATATATATATATCTATTTAGGCAGAGAGATATCGGTTTACATTTTTATTATGTTATTTGTTATTAGAAAACATTTGATTCAGTTTTTTATATATAAAAATATCACACAATTTTTTTTATTATTATTATTTTAAATTTTTTAATATATATATCTCTCTGATTACCGACACAATTGTGTTTTACATATATATATATATATATATATATATATATATATTATAATATAATTGAACAGTACTTTGAACACACTTAGTTAAAGTACAATACATATACTGTATATATATATTAATATATGGATCTATAAATGGCCTATAATTGTATAAATAATTGCAATTTTAAAAATAAAAAATATATTATAAAGTTTATTTTTGAGTATAATTTTTTATATAAATAAATAAATAGATAGTTTTTAATAAATGGCTAGTTAAAACAAAAATTGTTGGACAAAAATTAAAAATTAAAATAATATTTATAAATTAATTACTAAAATAATTATACTAAAACTATTTTATTTCTAGCTAATGATTACTATGATATATATTTTTTTTGAAAAAAATCTATTGATAAAAAATAAACTATTGATAAAAAAAAATAAATTATTGATAAAAATAATAACTATTGGTTGAAAATTTTAATTTACAACAACAACAAAATAAATTTTTTAAAATCTATTTATTTACTAAATTTTTTATATATTATTTTTTTTGTTTGATAATTAATGATAGTTTTCAACACCCGATAGATAACTTCAAACAATTATTATTATACACTAAAATAAAGTGTGAAAATATTTTTTACCAATAAAAATAAATAAATAAAATATATTAAAGGCTCCTAGGTTAAATAATGACATATACAGCACCTGTATGTCATCATATACTATACTGTATGATAATAATATAATCGGCATTTATATACACACAATGTATTAAACACACATATTATTTTAATATTATTTTTATTTATATATATATAATTTCTGGTTATATAATAATAATAATAATAATAATACAGTATATCTTTTTTTAATAGTTATTTTTAAATGTTAGTTATAGTATTTGAGTACTTTATACCCGACTATTAAAATTGATAGTTAAAACTATATATATCTCTCTATTTATTTAAAATATATATCACAGGTTTGACCAATAATTTAGTTGGATTTTGAATGACTTGTTTTGATTACATTTTTTAAAAACAAATAGCTAATAGTTTGTTATGATTTGCCATTTATTAGACAACAATTATATATTTATATATATATATATAATGTATATAACATTAACCACCCATTTATGCAAAGCTTACACATAATTATACTCTATATATACCGTATATTATTCAACAATATTTAAAAAAAAATAAAAAATAAAATAATAATAAAATAAATTTTTATTATAATATGATAGCTAAATGACTAACAAATATATATATATATATATATACAGTATATATATATATATATTAATATACAGTATATGAGTGATAAAATAGAGGATTGAATGCAGAAAATTCATATCCAGTTAAATAAATGATTGACACAAACCCTACCGACAGATGCTTTCATAATAATAATAATAATTAAAATTAAAAAAGTTTATTATTATTTATCATTAGTAGTAGTGTTATATAAATTTTCATATATTATATATATATATATATAGATATTTGTGGACATATAGTATTGTTATGTTATATATATAACAAATAGTATGTGTGTATATGTTTTATACTGGAAAATATTTTTTACAACAAAAATAAAAAAGTTTTTTATTTATTAGTTTTTTTTCTATACTATAAAAAAATAAATATTTATTTATTATTACAACAAAACTACATATTAATTAATCAATCAATCAATTAATTAATCAATTAATTTAATCAAATGGATAACAGCAACAACAAGTTTATCAAAATTAATACACTTATTGGTAATATAAAAATTAAAAGTTAGTATACTATCTGTATATATATTTATAATTTTTTTTAGATAAGCTAGATAATTTTTATATATATATATAAAAATAATAGCCATAGTTATCATAATAATAATAATAATAATAAGTTTTAACATTATTATTATTATTGAAATAAAAAAAATTTAACGTAAACTTTAATGTGTATTTAAATTAGTTTATAACTTATTTATAAATTATTATTTATTTATTTTTCTATATATATTTATTTTTCTATATTTATTATTTACTAATATATATTACTAATTATTTACATATTATCTGATTATTATTATTATTATTATTGTTAGTAATATAGTATTTTCTATACTTTCATTCAAAAAAAAATAATAAAATAAAAATAATTAAAAAAATAAAATAACAAAAATAACAAATTTTATGTGACATTTGTTTATGGAAACAATTAGATAATATTTTCCTAAATAATAATAATAATAAATACATTCAATTCAATTCAATTCAATTACTCTAAAAAAATTGTTTTTCATAAATATTTATATATAAATATATTGATATATATATATACTAAATAACAATTTTTTTATACATATATATATTATTTATATAACTAAATATTATATATATATATATATAATTAGCTGAGGATAATGATGATGATAATGACCTGGATATGTATACAACAACAACACCATCGACATCGACATCATCGGCAACAATATCGTCGCCTATAATAATAATACCGACCATACAATCGGAACAAATTAATTCAAACAATATTCATAATCACCAGCACATCCAAAGTGTCATCAAAACTGACCACAAATTATGCGATCAATCGGCTGCTACTGCTGTGGGAGGATCAGCGGCAGCCGTGGCCTCTCAATCATCGGACAGTGGTCTGACTATCGGCGGCGGTAACAACACGGACGAGACCAACAACGCTAGTAGTGGTGACCAACAGATCAGCTGTTCGAGTGGTGACCAGAAAACTAAACCCCAGTATTCGTACGTAGCGTTGATAACAATGGCTATTAAGTCGTCGCCCGACCGCAGTCTACCGTTGGCCGGTATTTACGAATGGATATACAAACGGTTTCCGTATTTTAAAAAAGGTGACAAAGGCTGGCAAAACAGTATCCGTCATAATCTCAGTTTGAACGAGTGTTTTATGAAGATTCCCATTGAAATATCGACTACCAGTGCCCGTAAGGGTAACAAATGGGCACTACATCCCAATTATGAGGATATGTTTGTCGATGGGAACTATAAACGGCGTAAGAAAATCAAACGAAACCGGTATTTAAAAAAAGTTTTTTTTTATTAAGTTTTTTGTTTTTTGTTATTGAAAATATAAAATTAAAACTTTTAAATCAAATTATATATATATAACAAAAAATTTCTTAAAATAATTAATATGTAATTGTTTTTTGTCAATAGTTTTCCCGAAAATCTTATTTTTATTAATTTATTTTTTAATTTTTAATTTTATGTTTGCAATTAGCTAATTATTTTATTATAGTTTGAAAAATTAATTGAAATTACTAACTAAAAACAAATAATAATAATAATTTCAGTATTTTTTATTAGTAATTAAAAAAAATATAAGATACAAGTTGACACTATATTGATATATTACTGTATGATTAATAATTTTTACTAATATATTATATTACTTATATACTGTATATTAACAGTACTATATAACTACTAATACTACTAACTTAAATATATAATTAGCTATTATAGTTATTATAATTATTACTATTACTAATATACCGGGTATTATAGGAACAATACATTAGATAATAAGTTAAATTTAAAAAAAAATAAAATAATTTTAAACATAAAATTTAATTCTATATATATAAAAGGGCCTTACATTAATCTCGGGCATGGGGTTTTTGCTATAATTCTTAAACGGAGTGAGATACATTAATTTTGTAAAAAGTGTATTAAAATGTGATTTACGCGTGAGACTATAAAATATTTAATTTTTAATTTTAATTACGTGATCATATTTATTCTGAGATGTTTGCAAACCACTATGTCAGAACCTTACCTATAAATGATAGAAAAAAATTTCATCAACAATATTGTAGAGCTTAAATTGGAAATTTATGGGAAGAAAATTTTTTTGAAATTAATCAAAAAATAATCTTTTTATGGTTTTTCAAACTTGTAGAAAAACACATTATATAAAATAGTCGAAAATAAAATGACATTATTTATGGACAATAGACACTTAATAGATAAAGATTTTAATACTATTACTTATTTTGAAAACAAAATTTTTTTATGTTAAATATTTTTTTAGATAATCAAACTTAATTACAAATTACATTATCGATTTACTATATTGTTTTTTATTATAATTTAATTATCTAAAAAAATATTTGACATAAAAAAATTTATGTTTTCATAATAAGTAATAGTAATAAAATCTTTATCTATTAAGTGTCTATTGTCATAAATAACGTCATTTTATTTTCGACTATTTTATATAATGTGTTTTTCTACAAGTTTGAAAAACCATAAAAAATTATTTTTTGATTAATTTAAAAAAAATTTTCTTCCCATAAATTTCCAATTTAAGCTCTACAATATTGTTGATGAAATTTTTTTCTATCATTTATAGGTAAGGTTCTGACATAGTGGTTTGCAAACATCTCAAAATAAATATGATCACGTGATTAAAATTTAAAATTAAATATTTTATAGTATCACGCGTAAATCACATTTTAATACAATTTTTACAAAATTAATGTATCTCACTCCGTTTAAGAATTATAGCAAAAACCCCATGCCCGAGATTAATGTAAGGCCCTTTTATATAAATTATAAATAATAATAAATTGTTTTCAATGAATCTCCTATATATATAAAAAAAATTATCATTTAAACAATAGCTAAAAAGTATGTTATAAATTAATATTTATAATTATTAAAAAAATAGACTACAATTTAACCACAAAAATTAAAAAATAAATAATAATTTAAATAAATTTACTAATAATAATAATAATAAGTTTTTAAATTGTTTATAAATAACATATTTTAGACAATTTTTATTTAGCCATTAATTATTATTATTTATTTATGTATTATTTTTTTTAAAAAAATATATCTTATTTTTAAATATATAAAATTAAATTTAAAAATATATATATATATTAAAATATAGGACATCACCATACGATACCAGCAAAGTTTTCATGAACCACCACCACCAACAACACCATCACCAAGTGGTCCAAACAGTACCCAATATGACTGCCTATTCGCGTAACGTTGCCGCCTATCATCACCGATTTGATCTGTCGACACCATCGCTACCGCCCGGTTCGATGATATCACCGTTTCCCACTAGCAGTGCAATGGCCGCAGCGGCGGCCGCGGCAGTCGTAGCCGCCGATAACCAAACCAAACACTACTATCAAACTTATAATACCTGTCAATCACTTAATAATAATAATAATAATAACACCAACACCAGCAACAACAACAACACTACTACTTCTACTATCAATGATTTTACTACCCATTGTTGGTCCCCGTTATCCAATCTTCAATCACAGTACAGGTATGTTGTATTTTTTTCTGGGGGGGGTAGACCTAATAATAGTTGTTTTTTTTATTAGATACCTATACCTCTATAGATTGACTATAGATTATATAGACATATATATATATATATATATATATATATATATAGACAATAGTTTATATCTATATATTCATAGAATTTTATAGACTATAAATAAATCAATTTTTTTTAATTAATACTGTAAATCAACAAAAAAATAATATTTAATACAAAAATTTAATGATTATATAATAATATATTTATTTTAAAACTAATTTTACTAATAATACTAATAACTAATTTAACTAATAACTAATTTAAATAAAAACTAATACTAAAATTAGATACAAAATTTTTATTATATATTTATAATTATATACTATATATATTAGTATTTATATATTTAAAAACAAAAGATTATAGAAAACTTATATTTCTATTAAAATTATATATTAATTATTTAAAAACTTATTATTATTATTATTTCAAAAATATATTGACGATATATATATATAATAATTTTTTTTATATATATCAATATAGCTGTCCCAACACAACTAGCCTACAGTCCTATCACAACACTAACAACAATACGTATAACTCGTCGACAATACCGTCGTTGTCGTCGTCGTCGACGACCACATCGTTTGATAGCCGAGGAGTAGGAGGAAGAGGTAGTACCGACCTATTGGCCAGTTCGGTAACTACCGGTGCTGTCGGTAGTGGTGGTGGTGTCCTTCCGTCACTCAATCTCGACAATATCAATGTTATTCAGCAGCAGCTTAGGTATCCGTATTGAATAAAATAATTAAAATTAATTATATATTAAATGAATTTTATTAAAATCTACAATTTTATCTACAATTATCTTTTTTTAAAAAAAAACAATATAATATTAATTATTTGATATATAAATAATAATAGATTAATAATTATAATAATAATTATAAATTCAATTAATTCAATTGATTTTATTTCATTCAATTATTTTCTTTATATAAATTTAAGTTAATTTTATGTTTGTTTGTTTTTTTAAAAAAAAATTTGAATTATATATCCAATATTTTTTCTATAATAATAATAATTATTATAAATTATTTATACTCACACTATGAGTACAATATATATATATATAGGTTTTTATGTAATTGAATTGTATGTATTTTTTTTAAATAAAAAATAAGTTATAATAAAATATTTAACTAAAAAATAATTATAAGTTATAATAACATTATGACTAAAAAATTAGTTTTTAAGTTAAAATTATAAGCATATGTTATAACTTATAATTATATCATATAAATTGAATCTTAAATAATAAATTTTCTAAAAAATTAATTAAAGTAAACTAAAATTTGATAAATACAATAAAAATTTTTAATATTTTTAATAAAATATAATCACCGTAATTTAATTAATTGCTAAATAAAAAGCAACAGGCTAATTTATTATTGCAATTAAACAATTAATTTAAATATAGATAATAATAATAATTTTATAGCAAAATAAATAATCAACAAAAAACACAGTTTAATATCAAATAAATCTTTATTTTATTTATACTGTATATAACTTATAATATTAATAATAATAATAATAATTAATAAATTACAAAAAATGAAACATTTAATGATTAAAAAATATTATATATAAATATAAATTATAGTTTATTTTTATTTATTTTATCTTATCTTTTTAAATATCAATTGCTAAGTCAAAGAGATTTTCATTTTTATAAAAAAAACTCAACTTTAAAATTTGAAAAAAAATTATTATTCAATTAGTCTTCACTTAGGAGATCCTCATCAATGTTGATGTCCTATAAAAAAAAGACAATAAAAAAATCATTTATTATTATTATTATTACTGTAATATATATAATATCTATGAAAAACAACTTACATCGACATCAACGTCGACATCATCGATGTCCAGATTATCCAAGTCTTCGTCTAAATCGCCTAACGAACTGTCCATAACATCTGCCGCCGATTTACTATTGTATACATCGCCGCCTTTGCTGTTGTCTTTGGGCAACGAAGACAGGGCTTCCTCGAAGTCGACACTCTCTTTGCTGGCACTTCGGGAATGTTGCTGTTGTTGTTGTTGGTGTGGTAGCGGACTATAGACAGCACCGCTAGCTTCGGCTTTCCATTCTTCGATCGGATTACGTTCGTGATTGTACGGTACGTTCGGATAGTTTATTGCCCGCTCATACTGTTGGCCATCATTGCCCGCCGCCACCAGCCGTTTGCCATTCAAATATTGTTCAGCTTTCAGTGAATCATCAAAATTGGGAAACAGATTCTCATACTCGACCGGATCGGCCAATGCTTGGGCCGACTTATCCGACTTTGTCCGTGCGGTTACACTATCTTTCCATAGTTGCAAAACTTCCGATACTTTTGACGGATAATAGGTTCGGGCAAAAAATGCCGCTTCAGGTAAACGATTGGTTTCGATCAATACGTCCAATGCTTTCGATGTATTACCCAAAATAAAATGCGATAAAAACGATACATTATTGATGCCTTTTTGTTGGGCCGAATCGGCCAACTTTTCGACCATCGATGCATTGCCCGATGATGTGGCCAGCAATAGTAGGCCGGCATAATCTTGGGCATTGTGCAGACATTGTTGAGCTAAATCAAATTGACCCAAAGTGGTGGCCAATTCGGCCAATTGTTTCCATTTGTGTTCGTTTTGGGCGTCCAGTGCCAACTGATAGGCAATCTTTGTGTCGCTCAACTGTACGGCCAAATCAAACCGGTGTTCGGGATCAGTGGATACGGTCAGCGCTTGCTGTTTGAAACCTTGTTTTTCCAGGAAATGTGCGACACGTGTCCGCTGTTCTTTGGGTATCGACGGCAGTATTTGGTCGGCAGCGGCAAAATCGCCTCTCATGACAGCCGTCTGGTATTCGAGAACCGATAGCAGTAGCGAATAGGAGACAATATTTAGCTCTTTGTCGCCCAAATAGAGCCGATTTTCCCGCGGAATATAACCCAACAAATATCTGGTTCTGTAAATCGAAAAAAAATCAGTTACCGATTAATTACCCGATAATTATACAAATAAAAAATTAATTACCGATCCATATGGGCAACGGTGACAATTTCGCCGCCGACATAATAGTTGAGACGATTGACACTATTGGTGTAAATAAAACAATCGCCAATCCATAGCCCAGTTCGGACCGATTCCTGTAGTTCGGCAATAACATCGAAAGCATCGTCAATACCGTCATCGGTAACCGTATCGCTGCTGCGGCCATCCCGGGCCTTAGCTACAGCTTCGGGACTATATTTCAGTATATAATACGAATCGTCGGTAGCTATGCAAACCAGATCGCCGTTTTCCGACCAGAAAACATTTTTCGGTTCAATTTCTATTCGCCGTATCAGTTCCAGCGAATCCCATTCGTAGAAAGCTAGACCTGCGGTCGATTTAACGCCCAACATATGGCCACCGTAGATACTGTCGGCACCGTATTCGGGTTTAAACGATTGTTTTTCTTTGAAATTTTTGAATATCTTAATATTGGTACCGTTTTCCCGGACGGCATACTCGGATGAGTCCAGTGCCCAGACAAACTCCTGGGCCGAACCGAAACTCTTGTTCCTGAGGGTCAGTGCCGTATAGATAATATATTCGCCGTCACCGCATACGACCACAAATCGGCCGTTCGAGTTATGCGATATTGTCTGCGGATATATCTCGCAACTGCCCATATCTTTGACACTCAATGGTAAAACGTTACCGTCTTTTAGTTCATCACCCGATTCGCCGCCACCCGAACCCATTGCCCTGATGTTTGCCTGTTGTAGTTCCGAATGTTTAGCCCATACAATCTTACCGGAACTGTCCATCGACATTGCCGGTTCCTCCCGACCCAATTTGATGATAATACTGCCCTCATCGTAGCCGACGGCCACCGCATTCGATCCTTTCAGACAACATATCGTCCAAACTCTTTCCAACCCGTAGTTCAGTGTACTCTCCAAGCGATAGGTATTCAAATGCCAGATCCTCATCGTTCCGTCCTCCGAACCGGTCATAATAATCGGCAATTCCGGATGATAGCAAACCGATGAAACATTCTGGGCGTGACCATCCAGAGTCTGTACACATGTCTTTGTCTGATAGTCCCAAATCTTCACCAACCGATCATCAGCACCGGATATCAGATACGGTTTATCACCCGAATGACAATAGTCAACACAGTTGACACCTTTTTCATGTCCTTCCAATGTAAAGTTCGGCGACGATGAACCCATTTGCCAGACTTTGACCGTACGGTCCAGGGAAGCGCTTGCGAACGTATTGTTATCTTTCGGATTGACCACAATTTGCATAACATAATGTGTATGGCCTTCGAATACCTGGGTATGAGCCCAGTTCTTGTCCCAATTCCACAGTTTAATTAGCATATCATCGGATGAGGTCAATATGTACGGTTGGGTCGGGTGGACATAAATGGATCGGATATAATCGGAATGGGCTTCAAACGAGTGGACCCGTTCCTGGGTATTATAGTTGAACACACGGATGGTCATATCATCCGAACCGGTCACTATCCAATTTTTGCGGCTAACAAACTTAGCGGTACGTACGGGTACATCGCATACGTCGAAACTTTTGACCAATTGTTGGCTGTCGTGATTCCAGACATGTACCTGACCCGAGTATAGGGAGGCCAACATCCACGGCTCAAGCGGGTGTAGATCACAACACTTGACCCGATCCGAACGGGACAGTAGTTTGCGGCGGACGTCAAGTTTTAGTGGCTATTATTAGTCGGTCGGTCGGGCGATGCGGTAGTTAAGAGATAGAGAGAGAGAGAGAGATAGAGTTAATAACATCGAGAGAGTAGTTCGGCCGCCGATTAGTTGGCCGCCACCCGATTAGTATACATACCATTGTTGTTGGTGTTGTCGATGACTTGTTTTTGTTTTTTTCTGTCCACTTATTCAGCGGCGGGTATGTAATGACACGTCTAGTCTAATGTAATGTAATGTAAAAATTCAATGCAATTGTGTTGTTATTATTAGCCAAACATTTAGTGATTACCGTATATGACGTGTAAGTACTGTATAGTTAGTCGTCTATAGTATAGTGTGTTTACTGTATGTGTTGTGTGTTGTTTGGCTATTGTATATGAATAATAACTTTCGGGCCATTCATATACTATGTTACAGTTTATTCTAATTGTATTTTTAAAACAAATTTTTTTATATAAATAAATATATTATTAAATAATAAATACTTTATGTTTAATTAATTAATTTAGTTTTATAATAGTAATTATTATTACAATTAAAAATTATTTATTTATTTATTATTATTTTTTTTAAATAAATATATTATTAAATAATAAATACTTTATATTTATTTAATTAATTATTTTTTATTATTAAATAATAATTATTATTACAATAAAAAATTATTAATTAATTAATAGTTTTTTATGAAAAAATAAATTTTATTTCAATTATAATTTAGTTAACAAAAAAAATACAAAAATTTATTCTACTTTACTATCAACTATAAAGTATATAAAAGTTTTGATAAAAAAGTTTTTTTTTAGAATTAATTAAAACTAAAAAAATTATTATTATTTTAAAAAAGATAAAAATGTATCAAGTTTAATTTACTAAATTAACATGATCAGTTAATTATCATAATTAATTAATTAATTAATTATAAATTCATTTATCTTTCAAACTCAATGGTAAAACATTATCATCTTCTAGTAGTAGTAGTTCATCAGCCGATACGCCTCCTATTGGATCAATGTTGACCTCCTCCGCCTCCTCCCTGTCCACCAATTTCAAGACAATACTGCCCTCATCGTAGCCGACGGCCACTGCATCCGACCCTTTCAGACAACATACGGACCAAACTCTTTCCAATCCGTAGTCCAATGTCCTCTCCAGCCGATAGTGGTTGTCGGCCGCCACCGAATCCCATAGACGTATAGTTCCGTCCTCCGCACCGGTCATAATAATCATCGGCAATCGCGGATGATAGCGTACGGACGATACGTTTTTGGTGTGACCGTCCAATATCTGTACCACTGTCCCGGTCTGATAGTCCCAAATCTTGACTAAGTGGTCGTCGCCACCCGATATCAGATACGGTTTATCAGCCGATGGACAATAGTCAACACTGTTGACACCTTTTTCATGTCCTTCCAATGTAAACATCGGTTCCGATGATGAACCCAATTGCCAGACTTTGACCGTACGGTCCAACGAAGCGCTGGCAAAACTGTCGGTATCTTTCGGATTGACCGCAATTTCCATAACATAATGACTATGACCTTCGTATACATGGCTTAGCGACCAGTTTTCATCCCAATTCCATTGTTTGATTAGTTTATCGTCGGATGCGGTCAGCAGATAGGGTCGGGTCGGATGGACACAAATAGATCGGATATAATCCGTATGGGCTTCAAACGATTGAATCAACTCCCGGGTTGAATAGTCGAATACCCGTACGATCATATCATCCGAACCGGTAATTATCCAATTTTTACGGCTAACAAATTTTGCCGACCGTACGGGTTGACCACAAACATCGAAACTTTTGACCAACTCCTGCGAGTCGTAATTCCAGACATGTACCTGACCTGTGAACAGTGAGGCCAACATCAACGGTTCAGTGGGATGTAGATCGCAACACTTGACCCGATCCGATCGGGACAGTAGTTTACGTTGGACATCAAGTTTTACTGGCTATCGGGTGTGGTTCGGGTGCGAGAGAGAGAGTGGAGAGAGAGAGAGAGAGAGAGAGAGAGAGAGGAGTTAGTTAAACAAATGTATTGACAACTTTCGGGTACTTATGACTGGCCCCACACAATCGGGTGCTTATGACTGGCCCCACACAATCGGGTGCTTATGACTAGCCCAACACAATCGGGTAGTTTCGGGTAATAGACCGGCCATTAGTATACATACCATAGTTGTTGTTGTAATTGTTTTGTCGACTTTTGTCTACTATTTTTCTTCTTTATTATTGTTTGTTTTTTTATGTCCGACTAATTCAGCGGTGGTTAACAAACATATAAATTCAATGCAAAAATTGTTATGTTTTTATATATATATAGTCTAACATTTTATTGATAAATACCAGTATTTGACGTGTATTATAGTCTATTAACTGATGCAATATTGTACTAAATTAAACTCTAATTTTTATTTAATTATTACATATCTGAGGGTGAAATCAAATTTATAATATAAATAAACTAATATAATCTTAATTAATTTATTTTATTTTTTTAGTAAATATATTTATTTATGCTTAAATGTGTTAAAATATTTGCTTAATATTGGTGTAATATCAATATTTGTATTTTTGTTATCAATCATATAAAGTTTTTTATATTTATAAATAAATAAATTAATTTATTTTTAAAACTGATGAATCATATATATATAATCAAGATAATTTTATTAGTTAGTTAATATACAGTTTATTACAATAATATACAATAATATATTGTATATTATATTGTTTATTACCTGATAATTATTGAATTGATTAAATTATTAATTTTTATTTTTTTTATTTTTTGAATAAGTTATAAAAATCAATAAATATTATATGTTTAGACAGTAATTATAAATTATTATTTATGTAATTAGTAATTATTAGAAATTAATTATATATTTAGTAGTAGTAATAATCATAATAAACAAAATGAAAAATGTTTTAGTAATTTAATATGTTTTTAGTATAATTTATATATTTTTTTTAAATAATTAATTTTTTTTGATTTGTATTATTAAAATAATGTATATTTTTTAAAATTGATATTAATAAAATTGACAACAAATTAAATTTTTGATTTACTTATTATTTAAAAAAAACTTGTTTTTTGTATTTCTATATTATTATTGTATTTTATTTTTTAAAAAACTAATTAATTAATATTTAATTAATTAATAATTAATTATTGTGTTTTATTTCTAACTGTTTTCACCTATTAATATTTAAATTTTTTTTAAATTTAATTTATAGTTATAGTTATAACTCGTGCGACAATAATATCAATGTTTAAAAAAAATCAATTAAATATAATATATGTTTAATAGCGAGACCTTTAGAAAAAAAATGTAAACTAAACAATGATTTATAATTTAATTAATTAATTATTTATGTGTTTATCAATATAAATGATTTTTTTGTTGATTTAAATCAAATCCAAAATAAAAACTTATATATAATTAGATTTATAAATAATTAAAAAAAATATGAATCTATTATTATTAAACAATTCAATAAACTTAATACTAGTAGTAGTAGTGGTAGTAATGTCTACATTGTTATCAAATAATATGATACTATCGGATATTTTTATTGTCAATGACGATGACTATGTTGCAGATGGTGGTGGTGGTGGTGGTAACGGTAGCAGTGGTGATAATAAGTATATGGATATAAATAATAAAAACAACAACAAACATAATAATAATAATAATCCTAATCCTAATAATAATCCTAAACCGTTATATCCTATACTAAACGAGGCCTGCAATCGTGTAGTGAAAATTGTCGATAAATGTTTAGATAAAAAATGGTATAAAACATCAACAGTGTTTACCACCGATGATGCTGATGATAATGATGATCAGGTGATGATGAAAGTTACCACAGATCAGGACAGTTGCTGTAAAGCTAAAGAAAGGCAATGTTCTCATAGAAGAATAGTAAGTTCCCTGTTTTGGTGGGGGTTTATTGGATCCACCCCCCCCCACCCCCGAAAAAAATAAGATATCATAATAATTGGTGTCAATAGTAGTCTATCAATATATGCCCCGTATATACCCTGAAATACCCGATCTTTAAATCTAACTAAACCAGGTGTAAGTGTTAGGAGGAGACCCTATCCCTCCCTCCCTCCACCCCAAACATACCGTACATAACCCATAACTTATTGAATGATGAGAGAGAGAGAGAGAGAGCACTAGTAGTAGTTGTCTCTATGGTAGGGAAATTCAAAAATAAGTGTTGTGTTTGGTTACCCCCTTTTTTTGTACCGAGAAAATTATAGAGGGGGGGTGGGGTTAGTATTATATATTTTTGTTGTGTATGTATGTATGCATGTATGTGTGTGTGTGTATATGTATGTATGTGTGTGTATGTGTGTATGTATGCATGTATGTGTATGTATGTGTATTTTTGTGTGTGTATTTGTGTGTGTGTGTGTGTGTGTATGTATGTGTGTGTATGTATGCATGTATGTGTATGTATGTGTATTTTTGTGTGTGTATTTGTGTGTGTGTATTTGTGTGTGTGTATTTGTGTGTGTGTGTGTGTGTGTGTGTGTGTGTGTGTGTGTGTGTGTGTGTGTGTGTGTGTGTGTGTGTGTGTGTGTGTGTGTGTGTGTGTGTGTGTGTGTGTGTGTGTGTGTGTGTGTGTGTGTGTGTGTGTGTGTGTGTGTGTGTGTGTGTGTGTGTGTGTGTGTGTGTGTGTGTGTGTGTGTGTGTGTGTGTGTGTGTGTGTGTGTGTGTGTGTGTGTGTAGATCCATATCCTTAATCTTAATCATATACTGTAGTAGTCTTGAGATATCATTTTTTTTTTTTTTTAAAGTTTTACCTAAAATACTAACAATCAATAGTGTTTGACTATAAGCTTATGTATGCAATTATTATAGCACCGGATGTGTTACGAAACTTTTACGGATGTATTAGGATTTGCCCAGACATTTGACAAATGTCAGACCCGATTGGGACTGAATACTAACGTCGAGTTTTGCCAAAAATATCAACAGCTAAACACTATCGTCAATCAGTCGTCAATGTCGGGCACCTGTCGATCATATATACCCTGTTTCGACAATCTGGACGTCGTAATCGGGCCGTCAAATAAAGTCGTCGATATTCTGGACGATCCCGTATTGTTTCCGCGGCCGCGGCCGTCGTCGCCGCCGTCTAAACATCAGTCGATGACTACTACTACTACTCCACCATCGATGCGCACCTGTATGTCAACGGTAGTCAAACTAGACAACTGTCTAATTAGAAAGTGGAATATAACCAAAAATATTGATAATAATTATAATTATAACGTAATGATTAATAGTAATAATAATAATTTAACACAAACTAGCCGTCAATTATGTTGCTATCAACGGGAGCGTAGTTGTAGTCTAAAAAAATTGGTAAAAATTATTAATTAATTAAATTGATATTTAAATATTTTGAAAAGTATTTTTTTAATTTATTATTAGCTAAATAAATGTAATCTAAGTCCTGGTGAACGTCTAGACAATGATCTACAACAGCAATACTACCGGCGCTTATATAGAAAATGTAATAACAATTTATGCGATCAATTAGTTGATAGACTTAGACAACAAATCGATGGTAAGGGTAGCTATGATGGCAATGATGGCGATGATAGTGCCTGTACTGAGTATATACCGTGTCTATCATCCAATCCTAACGGTGATCCCAGTCCTCGTCGACGTCATCAACTGGCAATGATGTACTCATCATCATCAGCGACGACGACTGGTATATCATCACCACATCATCATCAGCTGATGGACAGTCATATAATTATTATTAGTAGATATTTATTATTATATCCGATAATTTCGTCGATAATTTCCAAAATATTTCCAACATTTTTTTTATTTAGTTTTTTATTTATTATAATTTGATTATTTATTTTTTTTAAAAGTTAAATAGTTATTATTATTATTATTAATATAAATAATAATATACTGTATATACATTAATATTAGCATTTAGTAGTCATTTACACAAATAGTAATTTATTTAATTTTTGTTGTTGAAAATAATAAATTAAATTAAATAATACTAATATTTAGTATTGAATATATTATTAATAGTTTAGACATTTATTACAGTTATTATTATTATTATTAGTAATTTTTTTATCTATTATTTTGTTGTTGTTATCATCAATATATTATTAGTCATTAAATAAATAAATGATACATATTTTTTATTTAGGGTGCAATTCAATCAAACTAATTATTGGTTAGTGATTAGGCAATATGTTTGATCATATTTTTGTTTTTTTTTTGATGATAATATTATAATATAAAACTACATATATTTTTTTTAACAAAAATAAAGTTATATAATAGTATTGTATAGTTTTTTGTAAAAAATATATTTTTCTAGCAATAAGTTATATTTGTGTAAATTTAATAATAATAATACCCGGAAGCTATAAATTGAAAATATTCATATAAATATTGAATATATATTATTATTATTATTAATATTATAATATATGACACCCACTTAATATATACAGTATATAATAAAATATATATTAACAATATATATTATATATATATATTATATATTATATATATTAATATATATTATATATTAATAATATTGAATTATGCATTATTGACACTTTAACTATTATAATATAATATATTATTTGAAAGCTAACTAATGGGTAGATTCCCGGTATAAGTTTAGAAATTTATATACATGATATACATGTATATGATATTAATATATTAAAAAAAATAAGCATAAAATCTATGACATAAAATAATCTATGAGAGAGAGAGAGAGGCAATAGTAATCAATTTAGTAGTAGTAGTAGTAGTAGTATTGATGATAAAGTTTATTGTGTTAGACGTCATGCAAATGTGATAATTGAAAGCTCTCTCTCTCTCTCTCTCTCTCTCTCTCTCTCTCTCTCAATATTATCTCTATTATACAACAACAACACAAAAAAGTCGATTAACAATCAGTGTATATATATATACTATATATATATAACATTTTGACTGTTAAAATAAAGTTATATACTAAACAAACAAAAAAAATCGTATATAAATCTTAATCAATTATATATTGATATGATATTATATACTGTATATACCGGTATATACATGTATACTACTGTATAGACAATTGCAATTAATCAGTGCATATCCAACACACATACAAACAATAATTTATCGATTTATCATTTATATTATGTGGGAATCCTATATACTGTTAGATTAAAAACAATAATATAATATAATGTTGTTTTTCTAATATATTACTATCAATAATATCTTATTGTTTTATTTTGTATAGTATAATGATTTGTATTTAATCTTTATATTTATATTATATATTTATAGCATACTATATATTTGATATATAAATTGTTCAACAAAAAAATCAAATCAAAATTAATTTGTATTGTTTTTCTAGTTTTTTTTGTTGTTATTTAATTTCTACATTTATATTATGTATTAAAAATACATTTTACCTATTATTATGTAAATAAATAATTTTTTTTCAATATCATTACTACTAATATATCATCAGATACTATAAATAGCCTATTATTTTGTTTGTTTGTTAATTTCAATTTTGACATTTAAGTTTTTTTTAATAATTTATAGTATAATTTGTAGTTAAAATCTATTAAAAAATAAAATAAAGTTTTTATTATACAAATATATATAAATATAGAATAATATAAATATATAGAAATAAAAACTATATACAGAATATTCTCTATAATAAAAAAAATTTTCCTATATTTTTGATATATATATATATATGAAAGTATTGACACTTTTTTTTAAAAAAAAAATAATATAAAATCTGAACTATTTATTAATATTAACCCTTTTATTTTGGGTCAAGAATTTATTGGTCTAAAACAATGAAATTATTTTAATAATATAATTATTAATTATAAAAAACTATAAACAATTGACATAATTTTCTTTTAAATACAATATACAGTAATAATAATAATAATATTTACTAAATAAAACATTGATTTTTTTGTGTTGTTGGTTACTATTATTATTAATAATAATAATAATATTAGTTTTATTTTTTAATTGTTGATGTTTTTCAACAACAAAAAAAACTTATTTTTATAACTATTAATATTTTTGCCTAATTTTGTTATTTAAATGAAAACATGTCAATGGTATTTGAATTAAAAAATAAAACCTATTTGTAAACAATATAAAAAAATTAACTAGTTTATATTATATTATCAGCGAGTGGCAAATATATATATATATATATAATTGTTATTTATTTTTATATAATTGTTTTTTTTATACTGTATATTATTGAAACAATTTTTTTTCAATAATAATTTATATTTTATATTTTTAGTTTTATTAATTAATTAGTTTTTTTTAAATAATGTTATTGTATTTTGTTTTGAAGGGTTTATATATATATATATATAAATATTTATTGAAACAAAATTGTCAACAAACATAAAATAATAATTTTTATTTTATAAAATTTATAGATTCAAATTTTTTTTAAAATTATTATTTATTAATTATTTTTGTTAGTAATAAAAATTATATATATGTTTTACAATAAAAATGGTTTGATCACAAAAAAACTTAATTTTTTTATAATAATATTAAATACTTTTAATATTTGTATTATTATTATTACAACAAAACATAGATACTTTAACTTTTATATATTTATTATAAATTTATTTATTATTATGAAATATATCACTAGAATTAGTTAGAGATTGTTTTAATTGTTTTTAAAAAATAAAATAAATATCGTTTTACAACAACAACAACAACAAAAAACATTAATATTATACAATTAATTATAATATTATATATATAAAGTTATTACATAATTATTTTTTTGACACAATCAAACAACAATAAAAATCAATTAATTAATTAATTAATTAATAATATTAATTAAATAGACATTTATATTAATAGGTAATTATTATATTATGCAAATATATTGTACGACACTTACTATAAAATTATATAATATATATATATATTTTGTTAAATAATTAATTAAAATATACACACATTTTTGTTTAACATATATATATTGGTTAACATATTAGATATACACAGATACAGGTATAATATACTATATTTAGAGATACAGTAGATTAATATCAATGATATGGTGGGTTGGTGTGTGTGGGTCAGGGGTCGGAGGTCAAGGGGTCAGTGTGATGGTTGACATTAAAAACATGAGACAGCATTGAAATAGCATCGCCAGTATCGGGTCTTTTTGTCGTCGCCTCGACGATGCAAATCCATTGACGGATGACTACTACCACTATATGATGTATCCTCTTGTATGAGTGGTAACATCAGCTCTGGATCAGCTAATACTGATGATGATGAAGTCAATGATGGTGAGGACATGGAGGAGGAGGAGGACAATGATGACGATGACGATCGGCCACCCTTTGATGAACCACCACCACCACCTTTGACCTCATTGTCCAGTGCTATATGCAGGGCATGCATAAGCTTATTGAATAGCATTGTCGACCGTTTGGCCGGTACGGCTATCGGTCGGCTACTACCGAACGGCTTAAACTTGTTGGCCGCCGCCATCATCGCCAGTCCCGCTGCTGATGGCCTATCTCTCTGTAATTTTTTTTGCAATTAAATATTTATTAATTTAATTTTCAACAAACAAAAAATTTTTAAAAAATATGATCTATATTTATTTGTATAATTTAGCATGGTCGTATTGTAATTAATTAATTAATTAATTGTTGTATATTATATAAATATAATTATATTTGTAGTTATAAATATATATGTAATGCTAATAATTATTTTTGTTAAAATAATAATAATTATTTATTTTTTTTTAATTAAATATTTTTTATTAAATATTTTAATATTTATTAATATAATTTTCAACAACAAAAAATTTTTAAAAAAAATAATTATAATCTATATTTATTTTTATTGACATTTAATTTAGCATGGGCGTATTGTAATTAATTAATTAATTAATTAATTTTTTGTTTTTTATATATTATATAAAATATAATTACATTTGTAGTTATAAATATATACTAATTATATTGATATATGTAATGTTAGATAATAATTAAAAATCTAGTTTAATATAATTTATTTTATTTTTTTAGATCTACACTACATGTATAATAAGTTATAATAGATATTGAAATTATATATAAAATACAACCAAAAAAAATCAATTTTATATAATGAGTGACATTTGATATGACGACTAATGAAATGCAATGTTTGAATTAATTAATTATTTAAAACTTAATAATTATTTTTTTTTGTGGATTATTTTATACAATGTTTGTTTTTTTTAATATAATTTTCTTAGAAATTTTCATTTATTTCAAATTATTTTTAGTAATCATTTATTTCAAATTATTTTTTTAGTAATCATTTATTAATTAATTTCATTTACATCATTGTTTGCTAATTTAAATGCAATATTTATGACCTTTAACCTTTAACCTATTAATATAATATCTTACAAAAAAATATATGCAATTTTATTACTAAAAAAATTATATAATAGATATTAAATTTAAATTTTTTTTATTATAAATGTGTAATATTTTATATATTGTATACCTATTATGTGGGGGATATTAATGTTAAGTTTATATATAATATATATATATTGATAGTATTAATGTTTTAATATCAAATAATCCCCAAATAAATATCAATGTCTAGTCTATAGTTGAAAGTATATAATTAAATTTAATTTTGTTTGTTTTTATAAATGTATAATATTTTATATTGTATAACTATTTATGTGGGGGTAACTTATAGGCTTTAAATATAAATTATAATAAAAACGCTCTTAGACCTGTAAAATATAGCTATTTTTACCCTTAGCTCCCGATTATTATAGCTCGCGATATTGAATTAATACTAAACCAATCAAAATTTAGAAATAATTTAAATTGTTTAACGGTTTCACAATCATTAATAAATTGTTAACTCATACTAGCAAAACCCATAAGCATAATCTAATGGTAAAATCAGCTTAAGAAGTTGAGGAATAGATCATATTATCATTTAATGGTAAAATCAGCTTAAGAAGTTGAGGAAAAGATCATATTATCATTTAATGGTAAAATCAGCTTAAGAAGTTGAGGAATAGATCATATTATCATTTAATGGTAAAATCAGCTTAAGAAGTTGAGGAATAGATCATATTATCATTTAATGGTAAAATCAGCTTAAGAAGTTGAGGAAAAGATCATATTATCATTTAATGGTAAAATCAGCTTAAGAAGTTGAGGAATAGATCATATTATCATTTAATGGTAAAATCAGCTTAAGAAGTTGAGGAATAGATCATATTATCATTTAATGGTAAAATCAGCTTAAGAAGTTGAGGAATAGATCATATTATCATTTAATGGTAAAATCAGCTTGTGATCTAAAATTATACATTTGCTATTAGTATTTCCAGCTATTTTTACCATTAGATGATAATTGGATCTAATTATCATCATCTTCAGCTATTTTTACCATTAGATGATAATTGGATCTAATTATCACCATCTTCAGCTATTTTTTCCCATTTTATAATTTGTGACTAAGTATAAATGAAAAAATTTAAACATATTTTATAATTGCTTATTAAAGACATACATAGAATAAATCTTTATTAAC